CCTTCTCTATCTACGGAGTGCGCGGGCGACCAGGCTGATGTATTTCGGCTTAGGTAGCCCTATGCGCGCGGCATACGGTCTGATGCTTAATGCACCGACCACTCGAAATGGGCAAGCGGGGAGCGAGTTGTCTTGGGACTTCGGGGCTGAGCTGCCTCTACACCAATGCTGCAGCAGTAACACACTTCTGTCGTATGCGGAGGTGCGTCAGCTCTCATCTTGAGAATCATAGACCGAATAGGCTAGATGCGACGTTAAATATCCTCATTGACGTTTTAAGGACGATCGAATATACGAGAAGCATGTGCAATACTGACAGTCCCGTCACAGTTTTTTAACTGCTAGACATGTGAATATTATAAGAAAAGATGTTTTGAGAAAATGTAGTACGATATGAAATAATTATGGGTGCAATGTGAAACTAAGATAAGTGCATGAAATAAGTCCATCCTAAGATTTGAGAATGTTTTACTGTGAAATTACTCAATGAATCTGCTTTAAATTTAGCATACCTAAATACCTAGTCTAACTATTTAGTTACAACCCTAATATTGATAATTATAACAGGTAACTGACCTTAACTTGACCTCTGGTGGAGGTCACGATAGCTCATGTGGTAGAGCAGCGGCGTATCTAGCCGAAGATCGTGGGTTCGAATCCCGCTTGTGCCATTAACTTTTTTTCATCTCAACTAAAAACCTTAATTAGTTGTAATGTATTAATTGGTCAAGCGGACCACGAAATTAGTGAATTTAATTTCTATTTACATCGAAGGATTAGGTGTTTACATCACGTAATACGAAGGGATTAAATTACAAAATTATTAAATCGTAAAATATTTCATTACAAAACCGACAATTCCCCTTTTATTGTCAATTTAAGTTCGGTACAGCTAGGGATGAACATCGATAAAAAACATGGATAGTCACTATCGATTAAACATCGGAACCTCACCATCGATGGTGGTACGACCATCGACTCTATAGTCTACACATCGATGGTTTTTTTGAGTACTCATTACTCAAACCAAAATTTATTTTCATATGCATACATTAATTTTATGTGCCACTTTAGAAACAAGCTAATTTTTCAAACATCGCCATTTCTGAACCTTATTAAGAACTTGATTAATAAATTATGTTTATTTTTTAATATTATTAGGAATTATTTTTGATTTTGGTTTCATTTATAGTTGTACATAGATCTCTCGGTCCTTTTTAAATAAAGTCAAAGTATTTTGTGCCTGTGAATTTTATTCAAAATACCTCGCTGTTTTTCTTCGATACTTTGGAAAACATCCATAATCCACTCAAGCCCAATTCCTGTCCTTTGCTTAAGAAAAGGTAAAGGTTTAACATGTACTTAATTAAAATCAACCATATACTTAATTTATTAGAATTAATGTATCCAAATTTTACAGTGGAACACTACCACATCTTCTCCGGAACGCAATTAAAAATACGTAGGTTTTTTTTTATTAAATTATAAAAGGCGATCAACCGCTTTGGGTCATTTTCCGCCTTAAAAATTGTTCAAGCTGGGTGGTGAGTGGGCCTCAGGAACCCCCAATAGCGGAAACCAGGGCCCCGGCAGCATCACACGCCCCGGACACCCCTTCACAACCACCACCAGATGGGCACCCAAACCGCACCCCAAGACACCTCCCAACATTGAGTGGATTACAGATTATTGCATACTGAACTTGAATGATTTTGTATTAATATTATATCATTTTATCTTCATATTTCCGAAATTAATTTAGTTTTTTTACGGAAAGTTACTAGTTTGTCTATTTGGTCGAAGTCATCACCAAGCGAGTCTTTGATGTTGGTTGGAATTTCCAACCGATGTCTTTCTTCTACATATTTTTGGCAATTTGTCAAAATGTGTTTAACTGTTATTCTTTCTGTGCAAACATCACAAAGCGGAGTCTCTTTTTTGCCATGAGATAAGAATGAGTAAACCTACAATGACCAATTCTGAGCCTAGCAAGGACTACTTCTTCGTGCCTGGAACCTCTATGAGATGAGGCCCAAGGTTTTACAATGTTTTTTATCTCTCTAAGTTTGACATTAGAAGTCGTTTCCCACTCTGTTTGCCATAACTGCCAAGACTTTCTTTTATGTCAAGCTGTCACGTCGGATTTTGGTGTTTTTGTAATTTTAACTCCATTAAGAACGGCCTGGTCCATTGCCAAATATTCCGCAGTGTCCAGGAATCCACATGAAAACTACTCTATTTCCCTGATTTTGCAGAGATTCAATGGTAAATAGGATGTCTTGTATCACTGGATGTACAGAAAAGTTGTTTTTATGGGCCAGTAGCGCCGACAAAGAGGCAGTACAGATGACAATCGTTTCTCTGGATGGGGCTAATGTAGTAAGGCAGGTTCTGATAGGTCTCTTTCATTTCAGAAGAACATGAATCATTGTCTATTCTCAAAAGTGGAAATTAGGAAAAAACTGAAAAAGTTTATAAAACATCGACAGCCCACTATCGATGGCCAAAAAACATGGCACAGTAACAACGATGTTGAAAACATCGAACATCGGTCGCCTACTGTGTTTTCTAAACATCGACCATGGCTCCCCCCCTAGGTACATGGTGGCCGAGGCATCTACTAAATTTTCACTGCCTTCGGTGACGAAACAATAAGTAAGCCCACTGCCCAACGAAAATACTTCAAAAACTTTACTTCTGGGAATGAGGAGACTGAAGATGAACCTCGGTCTGGTAGACATGTCTCGTATTGAGGGAAGCTATCGATCTTCCTTCGATTAGCTTTTGCCGAGCATTTGCTTTTCATTGCTCTCCCGTCACAAAGTAGAGAAGTTTTTTTACCGCATGGTCGCATGGGACCAAAAAATTGATCCTATACAATAAAACCTGCAAATCGTACAATTCGCTGTCATAAAAAGACCCTGTTCTACCAATATTCACCAGCAAAAAGTGGTGCGTTGTGATTGGTGGAGTACTTTTAAAAAAAATTTTAAACTACAGTTGGGTAGTTCCCTCATTTTTTCGAGACACCAAAATAATAAAATATAGTTGTGTAAAAGAATATTTGAACGATATTTTGTAAATTGTATAGGTCATTATTCAGTGTATTTATTGTTATTGTCTTTCGATGGTAAAACCTTCAGCCTTTCTGCTTGTTTTTACTTTGGCTTCTTAGCGCTAAGCAGTTCCTGAGATTTTATAAAAGGGCTGAAGGTTCTAGCATCGAAAGACAATAACAATAAATTAAACTGGATATTGAAATGACTAACACAATACACAAAAATCTTTAAATTGTTAGTTTGGTTTCTTAGAGCCAAACAGTTCGTGAGATTTTACAAAAGGAAGAAGGTCAGAAGATTCTACCCTCGAAAGACAATAACAATAAATTACACTGGATAATGAAACGACCAACACAATGCACAAAAATCTTTAAATTGTTATTTTGGTTTCTTAGAGCGAAAAACTTCGTGAGATTTTACAACAGGCAGAAGGACAAAAGATTCTACCCTCGAAAGACAATAACAATAAATTACATTGGATAATGAATGACCAACACAATACACAAAAATCTTAAAATTATNATTTTACAAAAGGCAGAAAGTCAAAAGGTTCTACCATCAAAAGACAATAACAATAAATTTCACTGGATAATGAAACGACCAACACAATACACAAAAATCTTTAAATTATTATTTTGGTTTCTTAGAGAGAAAAAGTTCGTGAGATTTTACAAAAGGGAGAAGGTCAGAAGATTCTACCCTCGAAAGACAATAACAATAAATTACACTGGATAATGAACTGACCAACACAATACACAAAAATCTTTAAATTGTTAGTTTGGTTTCTTAGAGCTAAACAGTTCCTGAAATTTTACAAAAGGCAGAAGGACATTGTGTGTTTTATATATAATCATCCAATGTAATTTGTACATCCATTCAATCGTACAACTGTAAACAGTCCGCCGTTGTACGATCTCAGAAATTGCTTTACTCTGACACCAAAATAATCAACAATATGATCTAGAAATGTAAAATAATTATTTTTGATTTGTGTTATAATTATTCTACGTTACTGTCACAATATTTCAATGTTGCGAGCTTCAAATCATTGCCATTGGAAGCTTATTTATGGACAATTATAAAGTAGTTTGACCCCTTTCGACAACCATCGGGTTGTTGGTACGTTAACCCCTCTTGAAAGACTAGATACTTCATCTTATTATAAGAATTCCTTGGAATTAATGAACTTAAAGCAATAAGAGACTATTAATGAATAATAATTAAAGATTGAGCATTCAACCAAGAAATAAAACACAGCTTTCAAATTTCAATAAATTTAATAAATAGTTTGTAAAGTTTGAGGTATAGCTTATTAATTTCAGTTTAGCATGTCACTATCTTAGTTTTTTTTTTTTTTTTTTTTTTTTTTGTAATACAGAGTTTAAGTCTTCAGGTGGTTCCGAGTTAGAATTATATCTTGAAAATAAAACCTTTTATCTTTCAACAAGGTAAAGGGTTATGATAAAAGTGTTCGGGAAAAATGTTATCAAAGATTCCCGTAGAGTAAACAATTCCAATGTTTTTTTCAAAAGTCATGTCATGTAGTTGAATTTTTTTCTTTTTTTAGAAGAAGAAGAAAGAGTTGAAAGTGAGAGTGCCCGTCCTCCTCGTTCTTCAACGCGGTCCTAGCCGGGGGATGGAAAGTGATGCCTTTCGGTAAAATTTTGCACAAGAATTTCTTCCCACAGCCTCGCCCCCTCTTCGCTTCGGAATAATACGTGCTGTTTTTTCTTCTTGTTTTTATTTCCTTCTTCTGTTGTTTGTTTGTGTGTGTGTGTGTGTGTGAGCCGGTGTGTCCGGAGCACGGTGCCGGCAGCTCGTCCGATCCTGATGCAATGCTGCGTCGGGAGTGCGAAAGGTCTGGTGATCTGCCTGAGCCAATCCGATCCCGGTTGGACGGGAACGTGGCCGTGGCGGGGGCAAGTTCAGCCGTGGGACGTCTTTTATTTCCTTTCCACGCCGGCAACGTTCCCTATCAGTCTTTCGACAGATTCGTTGGAGAAAGCCGACGACCTCCATCCAACCGGAAACTCCTCCAAAACTTGGACTAATTTTGGCAATTTATTGGATTAACACAGGTAAACGCGAAATGGGGATTCAAACTTCTAACTCACACCTTGCAAAAAATAATAATAATTTTTTTCAACGACTAAACGCCATATAACATATTAACATACCTTCTTATTATAATTTTTTTTATATAGTTGCAAAAATTTTAAAAACAGATCACTTGTTTTACATACAAAGCAATAACACAATTTGGGAAAAAAATTAAAATTCTTCCAACTTTGATTTTGAGCAAGATCCAAGACCACCCTCCATTAAGTAAAGTCCATTCTCCACCTGTAGACAGCCGGCCGCAAAATTTTGAGTTAAAATTCTTCTGCTCCACCACTGGTGCTTTTCAAACACCTTAATGCTTCAAAAGAAAACTTCTAAAAATAGACAAGGCCAGATAGATGATTTTGCTAATCTTGGGATTGGAATTTGGCAAATCCTGAACGTAAACGATGATTTCTATGAGGTCATATGAGATAATGCAATAGGCCCAATGGTTTGCATTATGGTACAGAGAGAAACAAAAATTTAGTTTTTTTTTTAATAATTAAAAAGATTTATTGGATTATAACGTTTCCCCCCAATCTGTACAAGTACTATTAAGTGGTGACCATGCAATATTCCAATATCTAAAAAAAAACTTAAGTTCTTGCTATATTTGATACTATCTTGGATCTTTGTTGCACTTGCTCTTGATTTTTTTTTTTTTTTTTTTTTCAATTTAAGGGGGATCCGACTGCTTGGTCATTTCAGCCCTGAGGGCATGCGAAATATAACAACACACATTCCATACGCATTCACACAAATAAATACATTCACGCCTATATACATTGCGTTCATTTTATTTAGTAGATTGAGTACTCATATTGCTACATCGACCTGCATACAATAACGAACTAATCAAATTGGGGATGGGGTACTTTTATAAATATTCTACCATCGGCCCAAGTCGCGTACACAGCTCGAGGGACGATGGTATTTCACTTTAACATTCACTCTAATAAATACACTCACTCATACAGAACAGAAGCTTTTACTAATCTTAGCATTGAAATTTGGCAAATTCTGCAGATAATCGATTATTTGGACACCTTCTATGAGATCATACGAGGTAACGCAATAGGCCCAATGGTTTGCATTATGGTACAGAGAGACAAAAATTTAGTAATTTTTTTTTAAATAATTAAAAAGATTTATTGAATTATAACGTTTTCCCCCAATCTGTACAAGTACTATTAAGTGGTGACCATGCAATATTCCAATATCTAAAAAAAACTTAAGTTCTTGCTATATTTGATACTATCTTGGATTTTTGTTGCACTNAGACAATAGCCACTTTGCAAATTGTTTCTCGACCAATTAAAATATGTTTTTTATTGAGTGCCAATTACATGCTCAAACAATCCGCGGATCCTTTTGTTTTTAAGTCATCATCAGGGCAAAACAGTCTTAAATATGTCTACATATTGAGATAATTAAGTTTTTAACAGATGGTTGGGGCATCGGTGGCCGCAACGGTTTAGGCGTTGACACGGCGCTCATCGCTGTAAGGTAAAGGTCCCGGGTTCGAATCCAGCGGCCCTGCATTCGAACCCGACATACTTACAAATGGGCTTTTTTTTCAAAAACACCGGCGCCCCGTGGGTTGATATAACCTTTGCTGTTGCAAACCCTCGCGAAAAAAAAATGGCTTCAAATTTCTCCCAACTTCGCCTGGATTGGTTTTCCCTTTTTGAAACTGAGTTAGTCTTCAAAGAAATTTGGAACCATTTAAAAATTTAATTAAGTCAATGAGTAGACACATTTAAGATTGTTTTGTCCTGATGGTGACCTTAAAATAGGTCGAAAGCTAGGCAGTTACAATTGAATTTGTGTTTTCACCCAGATCATAACAAGATTCAGATTATTCATAACAACATCTTTACTTTGACCTATTCCTTTTTCTCTAATATATTCCAAGATATGTTCAGAGTTTAAAATACATAGTCCATTGGGCTGAGAATTGCTTATGTAACAAATTATTTTTAGATGTTTACATTTTAAAAATATTGTTCTAATTTGATTAGGTTTCGTGGTCCGCTTGACTAAATAAATTCTTTTCAATTAATTAAGGTTTTGGTTAAGATAAAAAAGTCAGTGTCACAAGTGGGATTCGAACCCCGCTAACTTCCCACGTAGGGGTGACACTAACTTCCCATCTCAACCCCACCTTTTTGAATTGAAAAATGGCAAAAAAGGAGGGAAATGGGAAGTTAGTGTAAGAGTGGATTGAAGTCACGATAGCTCAAGTGGTAGGGCAGCGGCGTATTTAGCCGAAGGTCGTGGGTTCGAATCCCGCTCGTGACAATGACTTTTTTATCTCAACCAAAACCTTAATTAATTGTTCCAATTGTCAAAGTGTTAGAGAATGGGTGAATGGCGAACCGGCATAGGGTCACTTGATGGGTCCGTGTTTACTTGCTGGTTTGTTGAATGCGTTTCGGCGTTCCTCACTGAAGGTGGCGTGTGCCCTAACGCGTTCGAGAAATCGACAAACCCGTGAGTGAAGACAGACGAACTGGAACATCTTTTGATGTGGACAGTCCAAAGTCCATCACACGATGTTTCTTAAGCGGACATCCGTTCTTATTCAAGAATCCTGGCACAATAGTAATTCAACCATCTCGCCTTTCTCTAAAACTTAACGAAACGTTTTTTTTTTAATGTAAAGCAAACAATTCATTAAAATTTTCGAAGTTTGGAAGGTCAAGGTTTCTATTTCACAATATTGACTTATTATTTTTCGGTTCAAAGCAAATAACTCTGTATTGCTGCCGAATTATCGTATTATTTATTGGGTGGGGCAGAGTCCAAAAATACCCTACAGTTTTATTTTAAGCAGACGTCTTTAACCTTTAGCCGAGGAGAGGCGAGCTACAAAAGCAATCATTAGTTGATTTCTTGTAGTGCAGTTCTATAATTAATAATTACTTAGCTCGGCCGAGAAAATTTGCTTTTGACCGCTATAACCCCCGTGCGGAACAACATCAGCAGACTTTACAGAAAGTGGAACTTAGCTTTTCCATCTTGCCACAGTGACCCTTCAAATCAAAACGCTAAACAGGGTCAAAATTTGAATAGATTTTATTGCCTAATTTTCCAGGAACTCGCAATTCGTTATTGTTTGATAATCGGCTTCGAACTATAATCTATTTCCATTGAATAAATCCATTTCATCAGCTGTTGCAAATATGTTCGTTGAAATTTAGATCCCCAAGAATATTATCGATATACTCCGAATTAGTCTTAAAAAATATAATTTATTAATAGTTTTGATTATGCTTTGAGTTAAATTAAAAAGTATCAACTTGACTCATATATTTTTAAAAACTAGTGGCATTTTAAAATTTGATGAACATTTAGAAAAGTTTTATCTCATCCAATACCTTTCATAAATATTTATTAATTGGTCAATCGGACCATGATGGATTTAAAAAAGTTTTAAATAGTTAAAAACTAGTTTTTACTGCATCGTTAAATCGTTTTTATCTTGTATAATTATTTATTTAAATTAAAAATCTAGTTTGGTCTGACATAACGCTATGCAAGCTTTTAGTTGTCCAACGTAACCTAAATAGAACTCAATATAAGCCAAAATTGACTACATTTGTTTATTTATTCCAATATGTTTAGGCGAAATATGATTCGTTTTTCTCATTGTAAATTTTTTTTTGTCATTTTTCCACAATATCGAGCTTGAATTACTGTGGCAAAAGTCAACGAACCATCCCAAGGCCGAAGCAACTGTTTCAGAACACCGTTTGATAACCGGCGACTTTGGTCGTATCGGTGGGGCAACGTCGGCTTTATGCTTAGCAATGTAGATACAACGTATTTTATGAGGGAAACAGACACAAACACATATCAGCCTAACATACTTGTCGCAATTCGTTGGAAAACATTAAATCCGTACAGAAATCAAAAGCTCACGAGCAATTTTAAAATTTGTCCACAAAAAAAATGTTCAATCGAATTCAAACTATTTCTTTAAAAAAATCAAAGTTTCTTGAGTCTTGTGGAAACAATTGAGTAAGTAAAAAAAAAACTTCCTCGACCTGAAAAGTCTCCCCGAAACAGCGAATATCCTCGGATCAATGGTGAAATTTCAGTTGTTCATGTCGAGGATAACTTCTTTTTATTCACTCCATATATTTTTAAGGACAGCATAGGATTTTTTATGATAACTTTTATCAAGAGTTTGATTATAAAAATAAAAAATAAAAGTTTCGAGCCTTGACCATTATGACCAGGACGATCAATCTTCAATAGATCCGCTCAACGTTTTATATCATACGATCACATTTCGTTTTTATTTTCATTTTAAAATAAAAAATATTATCCATGTTTGATTTCAATAATTCAAATGAACTTTGCTAGCTTTATCTGTAAAAATCTTGATCGGTCAACTGGTTTATCTTGTTTCAGTTTTACACAAGTTTTTGCTAAGCATCAAATCGCTAACTTTCATGCTATTCGGTTCTGTTAGGTTTTGTCCTTATAAAAAAAACTAATCATAACCAAGTATGATTTTTTTAAATTAAGTTTTTCACTCGATCCGAACAGTAGATGTCATATGGCAGGTTTTATGAACACTCGGGGTGTCGGTGTTTAAAAAAAAAGCCCATTTTTATGACTGGTTCGAGTAAAGGGCGGCTGGATTCGAACCCGAGACCTTTACCTTACAGTGATGAGCGCCTGTCAACGCCTAAACCATTGCGGCCACTGACGCCCTGACAAATTCTATTATGTTACATTATATTGTAAGAACAATTATGAATTGTTGAATTTTAATTTTAAAATAAAAAATATTAATCATGTTTTATTTCAATAATTCAAATGAACTTTGCTAGATTTATCTGTAAAAATCTTGATCGGTCAACTGGTTTATCTTGTTTCAGTTTTACACAAGTTTTTGCTAAACATCAAATCGCTAACTTTCATGCTATTCGGTTGTATTGGGATTTGTCCTTATAAAAAAATAATAATAATAATAATCATAACTAAGTATGATTTTTTAAAATTATTATTTTTTTTTTTTACTCGGTCCCAACAACAGATATCATAGGTTTTATGGTTTATGGCAGGTTTTATGAACACTCGGGGTGACGGTGTTTAAAAAAGCCCATTTTTATTACTGGTTCAAATGCAGGGTGGCTGGATTCGAACCCGAGACCTTTACCTTAACCTTACAGTGATGAGCGCCTGTCAACGCCTAAACCATTGCAGCCACTGACGCCCTGACAAATTTTATTGTGTTACATTATATTGTAAGAGCGATAAAAAAAATTCCATACATTTTTTTACAAAAAGCAATAATTGCCCAACTTGTTCTGGCGTCGATTTTTTCTCGAGGTACGATCGTTTTTAAAATTACTCAGTTGTGATAGGGCATATTTTCTGACGGTAACAAGACCCTTTAATAACCATCAAAAATCAAATAACCATCAAAAGTCTGTCTAAATAACTGCCAGTCAATTAAAAAACAAGTAGTGTTTCCGCCTGTTATTATATGTTAAATTGCTTTATGTGCAAAATAAATTTGCTTCTCAATTAAAGAAATATTTTCTTTTCCTTGATAAAGATGGCAAGAGGGCTTCCAATAGGCGAAGTTAGAATTTTCAATTTTCCCGGACCAAAATTGCGCTCTTTTGGATACATTAATTAACATTTGTATGTATATTGTGTCATGTTCACCATTAAATTTCGATCGATAATTTTTCCATTTTATTATTTCTATTAATATTCAGGGTGTAAAAAATTAGAGTTTCTTATATCTTTATAAAGTCTTAGACAGTTTCCCCATGGTTTATAAAACTGTTGAACCATCCATACTTTCAGTCAAATTAAATTCAAAAAATTTTATTAAAGATGCATATGAGTTGAAATATTAAGGGCATGTGCACAACATAAAAAGTATAAGTAATATAAATTTAGTTATGTACAATTATAAATAATAAATTATGCGTTACTAAATTCACTAGTTTTCGTGGTCCGCTTGACCAATTAATATCTTTCAGTTAATTAAGGTTTTTAGTTGAGATAAAAAAGTCAGTGTCACGACCGGGATTCGAACCCACGACCTTCGGCCAGATAAGCCGCTGCTCTACCACTTGAGCTATCGTGACCTCGATCCTCTCGGACACTAACTTTCCATTCTCAACCCCACCTTTTGAATTTTCCCTCCTTTTTGTTATTTTATTATGCCACGCTTGATGCCCTGAAGATGACCAGAATAAAAAAAAAAAAAAAAAAAAAAAAAAAATGAAGGTGTTTTTCTAAAATACTTTATTCTTGACCGCTTCTCACGATTTCAATAAATCTCTCAAGCCGAGTGCCATAATTTTTGTTTTGTTTGAATTTAAAGACAGGCCGTTTGCAGCAAACCAATGTCATTTTCAGTCAAATTGGAATTATTCAAAAATATAATTTTTCACAGCCTAATGAAGTAGAGTTGAGTGTAAATTTCTGAAGTTTTCACAAAAATCATTTGGGAGGACAATGTACCAAACTGGCCCTGTGGAAATGTAAAAACCAAGAAAAGTATTCCGAGTCGGTCAGAAGGTCGAAAAAGTCAATGAACGATCATTCTCATTTCGGAATGATAGTTTCAACGGGCAGTTATTTTTGAAAAAAAAAAATCGCCGAGTTGGTGGGGGCGAATACCGTTAAAGAGTAACTGAGGAATTCAGCTCACTGCAGAACTAAGATCATGATCGTGGACCTGTTGCTTCCAAAGTCTTTTATCCAATTTTGAAAAGTTCAATTATTCAAAAGATACGCTATTTTGGATGGGGGGTCTTTTCTCGACCCCTTGCTCCATACGGTGCAACCAAACATGCAACTTTTTCTCACAAAAAAACTCCCTACATGAAAAATCCCACGAATTTTCTCGATTTACCGTGAATAAAAAGTAGAATACATTTAATTGGTATTTTGGATGGGAGACTCTTTTCTCGAACCCTTGCTCCATAGCGTGCAACTAAACCTGCAATTTTTTACAAACAAAAAAAAAATCGCTGTATGAAAAATCCACGAGTTTTCTCGATTTACCGTGACTACAATTTAGAATAAATTTAATCGCTAATTCATATGAGGGAGGCTTTTCTCGACCCCTTGCTACGTAGCATGCAACTAAACGTGCAACTTAAAAAAAAAAAAAAAAAACTCCCCGTATCAAAAAATTCCACGAATTTTCTCGATTTACGTGAATAAAAAGTAGAATAAATTTAATGGGTATTTTGGATGGGGGAGTCTTTTCTCGACCAGTTGCTCCATAGGGTGCAACTAAACATGCAACTTTTTCACCCAAAAAAACTCCCTGCATGAAAAAATCCCACGAATTTTCTCGATTTACCGTAAATAAAAAGTAGAATAAATTTAATTGGTATTTTGGATGGGGGAGTCTTTTCTCGACTCCTTGCTCCATAGCGTGCAACTAAACCTACAATTTTTTCACACAAAAAAAATCGCTGTATGAAAAATCCACGAATTTTCTCGATTTACCATGACTAAAATTTAGAATAAATTTAATCGCTAGTTTATATGAGGAAGGCTTTTCTCGACCCCTTGCTACGTAGCATGCAACTAAACCTGCAACTTAAAAAAAAATTGCATGTATGAAAAAATTCCACGAATTTTCTCGATTTACCGTGAATAAAAAGAAGAATAAATTTAATGGGTATTTTGGATGGGGGAGTCTTCTTGCTCCATAGCGTGCAACTAAACATGCAACTTTTTCGCAAGCAAAAAAAACTCGCTGAATGAAAAATCCACGAGTTTTGTCGATTTATCGTGAAAAAAGAAGAATAAATTAATCCCTATTTTGGATGGGAGACTCTTTTCTCGAACCCTTGCTCCATAGCGTGCAACTAAACCTGCAATTTTTTCACAAACAAAAAAAAATCGCTGTATGAAAAAATTCCACGAGTTTTGTCGATTTACCGTGACAAAAATTTAGAATAAAGTTAATAGCTAATTTGTATGAGGGAGGCTTTCTCGACCCCTTGCTACGTAGCGTGCAACTAAACCTGCAACTTAAAAAAAAAAAAGTCCCTGTATGAAAAAATTCCACGAATTTTCTCGATTTACCGTAAATAAAAATTAGAATAAATTTAATGCTATTTTGGATGGGGAGTCTTTTCTCGAACCCTTGGTACGTAGCGTGCGACTAAACATGCAAATTTTTCACAAACAAAAAACCTAGATGTTTGAAGATATTCCACGAATTTTATCGATTTACCGTCAATAAAAATTAGCATAAATTTAATCGCTATTTTGGAGAGGGAGCCTTTTCTCGACCCCTTGCTGTATAAAAAATCCACGAGTGTTGTCGAATTACCGTGAATAAAAATTTCCCAATTAAAAACTGGGTACATATTTGAGCAAAAGTGGATAATTGCTTTTCTGAATCGTAATAATTTAACGTGCAAAATAGCCCAAACGGTCCCGTGTAATTTATAATCCTTCCAAAACTCCCAAAAATTAATTCGTTAGCAGTCGTTAGTTACTCGTTCTGATAAATTTGTAACTTTGCCTACTTGTCTGAAGTAGACCGACAACCGGGCAGATCTATTTTGATGAATCTGCGGAAACTTCGCTTGTTTTCGACCCGCCTAGCGATCAATTTTAAATGTTTGGTTATTTAATTCGAACGTCTGACAGTCGGTTGTGTGGCTAAGTTTAAAATTGCTATGGCACGTATTGTCCAATTTTTTAAATTAATTAATTAATTTTTTGAAAACAGATGGCAACGGTTGCCCGGAAGTTGAATGCACGACAACCCTACTCAGTCGCGAGATTAAAACAAAATCGTAACGACGAAGCCTATATTCTAGGAGAGCTTGGCATTTTCCAAAGTTTAGGTGGGTCGTCAAATAGCAATTCTCTTCAAAAATCCGCCCCCCCCCAAAAAAAAGTGCATTAGTCGTGATCAATTCTTCGAATTTGTTCAACTCTATTAATTATAAGTCATTTCTGCAATCTACAGTCATTTTTGGAAAACAAATAAAATTTAATTGTCCGACGTTTTAATAGTTTTCGCAAATGGTCTGTTCTGATTCTCCCAATTCAATTGGTCATTATGACTGCCCAATTTTCATTTTTTTTTTTTTTTAAACATAGATTAAGAACAAGTAAAATAGTTCATGCCTTAGAAAGATTTTACGACCTTAACCTGAATAAATTTCTTATACCCACAGAAAACAGTTGAAAAAAGTGGGAAAATTTGAACATTTTTATATTTTATTTTATTTCAAAAAAATGTTATTGTAATGAAAAGACCTGGTAATGAAAACCAATATTGTTTTTTCTATAAAAAATAAATGAACATGTTTAATTAATTTTTGTCAATAATTTTAAAAAAGCTGGATTTTAATTTTTGGTTTTCCGCATTCAGCATTTTTGAATTTTTTTTTTTTTTTGTTTGATTTGGATGTGTGATTTATTGATGTTTGACTATCATTTGTGTAAAAGTTGCACAAGCTAGAAATTTTTAATTAACTAATTATACTTTATTATTAATATATATCATTTAAAGATTTGTAATGAAAATGATAATGTTGACAGAAAAATGGCCCCAAATATCACATCAAGTCCAGAAGTAACACAATGTCCGGTGAAACCACTGGAACTAATGCCGGAGAAAGAAGAGGAGTATAAGCTCACGATTGTTTGGAGGAATGTAATTTTATTTGCCTACCTCCACTTGGCTGCCGTTTATGGATTATATTCTTTAGTTTTTGAAGCTCAGTGGAAAACCGTTCTCTTCGGTATGTTTCAAATGTTATATTAATCTGATTTATTTATTAACTTTTTTTTATATATTTTTTTTACAGTGTTCGTGTTGTACCAAATGTCTGCATTGGGTATCACCGCAGGAGCTCATCGGCTTTGGTCGCACAGGGCTTACAAAGCTAAATTGCCCCTTAGAATTTTATTAGCGTTTTTCAATACACTTGCATTCCAGGTGGGTAATTTCGCATTTGACGTATCGTGGAAGAAATTAATCGGCATATTTTCAGAACCACGTGATCGAATGGGCGAGGGACCACAGAGTGCATCACAAGTATTCTGAGACAGATGCTGATCCGCACAACGCCACCAGAGGCTTCTTCTTTGCCCACGTCGGCTGGCTCCTTTGCAGAAAACATCCGGAACTGAAAAGAAAAGGAAAACAAATCGATATGTCCGATCTTGAAAATGACCCTGTACTCGCTTTCCAGAAAAAGTAAGTTTTTCTAATTATTTCATTTATAATTTATCAGCAACACATTGCTAATGTTGTTAATAATCATTTAGCTTTTTATCATGTTTAATACAAAACAGTACAGGTTGTACAGATTTAGATGGTAGTGGAAAAAAAATATCAATAAGAACAGCGAGTAATACATAAAATCTTTTTACTACAAATATAGAGGTTTTCAAATGAAATAGTATTGATAATAAATTAATTAACCGCCGAATAAATACAAAATGTACCACCAATAATTGATTTTGTTTAATTACAAATGGATATTAAATGTGTGTGAAGTGAAGATAGATCAGTGAAATTAATTGAGTGAGGATTAGGTAGTCATCAGATGAACATTGTGGTGGTTTCTTCATCTGACGACCTGATGCTCTTTCTCATTCCTTTTCTCATTACAAAAAATAATAACTAACATGGTTCTAACATTCAGTTAAAGTTTACATTTTTCCAAATTGAGGACAAAAAAATTTCCACAAATATGCTTTTCTGGTTCTTTTAGCATTTGGCTTTCTTATTTGTCCATGTAGTTAAAACAAATTTCACAATTTTGGACTTAACCCACTTTTCACCACAATCACAGATGTATAAATTACAAGGATTTTTTGCAACGACATACCAATGCCAACAAATCTTTTCTTAAGTAAAAAAAAAGAAGTAAAACTAGCATTTTTCCTCCAAATTTTTCCAACAAGAAAAATCTAGCAAACACGGTATAATGTGCATATATATAGGATGCTGTTATTTAATAAATAATCATATTGTTTTGCGTCATTGTTGAAATCTGTTTCACAAATTAAAATTTTGTTTCAGATATTATTTGACACTAATGCCGGTAGTATGTTTCATCCTTCCCGCTATTGTGCCCATGTACTTCTGGGGAGAAACGTTCACATGCGCATGGTTCACAGCGTCCATGTTCAGGTACACATTGACATTGAACTTGACCTGGCTTGTCAACAGTGCCGCTCACATGTGGGGAAACAAGCCTTACGATGCGTAAGTTTTATTTAAAATTTCATAGTTTTTACATAAATTTATGGTATTGAAGTAACTGACGATTGTATGACATTTTATGTATTTGACGAGTTTTTAATACCAAATGCACAAAGCAAAATTGCTGGAAGCTCTGAAATAATTGAAATTGTCAGTTGAAAATTTATTCAGCCAGATTAAACAATAAAATGTTCCAAACTGTACCATTTTTAGCTTAAAATAATTTTAAATAAATTTTTAAATGACTCCAAATAACTCCTAATTGAAAAATGCTTGCATAATTTTTGGAGATAAAAATTATTTAATTGCTTTATTTAATGAGAAATAGGTTTAAAATTTAAATATTGTTGGAAGTATTATTGCTATATTTGTATGAAGTCTGAAAACTATAAAACTACACTTATTTCCGTAAACACAATCCTTTTAATAATGTTTTTTGTTTTTGTTTTTTCACAGAACGATCAACCCTGCAGAAAACTTGGGTGTAGCTTTGGGAGCTGCAGGTGAAGGCTGGCACAACTACCACCACGTTTTCCCCTGGGACTACAAGGCGGCCGAATTGGGCAACTATAGAGCAAACACTACAACCGCTTTCATAGATCTGATGGCGAAAATCGGCTGGGCTTACGATTTGAAAACTGTCCCTCATGAAATCATCAACAAACGATGCCAGAGGACAGGAGACGGCACCAGGCCTCTGTGGGGTTGGGGCGACAAAGACATGACACAGGAAGACGCAGAAGGGACCATTCAACTTTTGCAGTCTGAGAAAGCCGAATAGACGTGCATTTTTATTGTATTAGCTCAGTGAAGATTTATTACAAAATTGAATATTAATATTCAAAATTTATGTCTTTTTTTTTTTAATGTGACAGACAGAACGTTTTATGCTGTGATTGTTGAACAACAACTATTAAAAAAATAGTGTGAATCTAGTCTGTTAACACTTTTCCTTTTTAATATCGGATGTAAATAATCAACTATTTTTCTAGTTTGTCAATCTTTAAAAGAGTTTTGATCAATTTTGTTTTGTACGTTAAAAAGATTATTTATCTTTTTGTAAGATATATAATATGTGATATTGTATTTAGAGATGAGCCTTCTTTATCATAATTAAACGTTAGGTGTACAATTAATTTTACATGTTTAACCCATCTTTGTCGGGGGTGGACTTTAAAATAAAATTAATATCCTGTTTTTATTTATATATAAAAAATATTTGTCTACCCACAAACAAATCCCTCTGGCATAGGCAGTTAAAATTATTGAACAGAAGAGAATCAATATATTAAGCAAAAAAAACTATTTAGCAACTTATAAATACGCCCCATCCAATTTTTGATTGCTTAAATTATAAAGCATAAATAACAAACCATTGCCCAGCAGTATTGCAATTGAAAAGCTTGACATCTCAATCTAACCTAATTAAATTCCATATCATTTATCATCTTTTATAATTATAATGTTGTAAAATCATGTTTGTTAAAAGAAACATTCTTTTTAAATTCACTAATTTCGTGGTCCGCTTGACCAATTAATATATTACAATTAATTAAGGTTTTTTAGTTGAGATAAACAAGTCAATGGCACGAGCGGGATTCGAACCCACGATCTTTGGCTAGATACGTTCTTTTTAAATGTATTGCTTAATAAGAGCATATGTCTATGAAAGTGTGAATTTCAAATTTTCGTGATTTTCAAATTGCATTTCAAAAGATGTTGACTAAGAAATCAAAACTTCTGAGCAATAGGGCAAAACGTTTTAGATTTCCGATGCAAATTGTTCAAATTATCAAACATCAGAATTCCTGTTGACAAACAATCAGTAAATTACTAGCAAAATATCATGAAGTTAATTATAATAAATTTCTGTTAACTTCTAGTTATTTTCAAGAAAAGTTCGTTAATTTAATTAATTTTTTTATAGAAATGTCGTATTTTGTATGCCGTTACCAAGGGGTCTAATTTGCCATAGAAAATTAAATTTTTAGCTTGAAATTCAACATAATAAAAGAGGTTAGGGCATTTTCAAAAAGGAACTAATAGTCAAGTTGTTAAAAAAACCTATGAATAAAGGTACCAGGAAGGGTTTTAAAACACAGATTAACTTCTAACTCATTTATTAGAACTTCAGTAATAATAATTTAATAAAAACATTAGTTTTTGCTTTTTCACATTAATGTAATGGTTAATAGTTAGCTGGATCTTGGATTAAAATATCCGGTAAAATTTGTTTAGCGTCGTCGAGACATTCTTTCAAAGGCCGGTTCGTTTCGACAGATTTGCACAAAGCTTCTTTTACGCCGTTGCTTGAAATGGTGGTGAGATCTTTGGCCCATCCCAGGGCGGCGAAAACCCTGAGGATCGAAGTGGAAACGCCCTGGTCGTACGTGCCGTACTCTCCGGATCTATAATCCCAAGGGAGGAGGTAGTGGTACTGCGGCCAGAGGCTCTTTGTCACGAAGAAAACAAGCCAAGTGTCTCCCGATTTCCTGAAAAACGCCCGACAATTTAAAATTGTTCTTTGTCCATTGAAACGGCTTACCTGTCAGAAGGGTCGAGCCCCCACACCAGGAAGGCGCTGTTGATAAACCAGGATGCGTGCAGGATCAGGACGATCCTTAAAAACCCTATGACGAAAAAGCTAACAGCCGCTGACTCTCCCCAATATTCCATTGGGGCATTGATTGGAAGCAAGAGCCCAAATATTGGCATTAGAATATAGTATAGCCTGTATACAAAAATAATAATAACAAAAATAATAATAAAGATTAAGCCGAGGGTTAAAATTAAAAGTACTCAAATAAATAACAAAACAAAGAGACTTCTGCAATGGTATTCCATTGACTAAATACCTCTCAAGGTGATTTTCTAGCAAAACTGATTGGATAAAACTCCATCTCTTTGTTTCAGTTTGAATTTACTAATTATTTTTTGTGAATGTCCAATGAAATTAAAGGTTCCACCATTTTATTACTTCAAAATAATTACAAGGGCAGTTCAAGTGAAACAAGACCCTTCTGAAAAAATATTTTTGTATAAAACAAAGGAACAAATAATATTATGTTATGTATTCCGTGTTTTTCTTGTAAATAATGAGGCTGTCTCAAAGTGTCATTGCATTTTAAGAAGGCATAAGAGAAAAGAAAAATAAATTTTACTGGTTTCTTGATAGCATAAAGCAGATAAATTAAAGAAATGGGACATCATACAGCAAAAATCTCTCAAAACTTGTTTGGGGTCTATTAAGAGCAATGATGTCATCAAAGCTGAATGTAACGATCAGCCACTGTCACATAGAAGAGAAAAACTGGCAGGACGGTTTGTGTTGCCCCAAACGGTGAAAAAAAATTTCTTGCTCTGCACATCTGTGATTTGTCCATAATGAATCTAACAAAAAAATATTGGCAAAAGAAAAAACCTCCACCGATTACCACAAGTTTTAACCTCTCTGGCAAAATATCAAAAGATCAGCAAGCACTTGTTGATTAACCGCTACGGGATTTGTCCGGAGTAGTCTTTTTCTTCCAATTTCCAATTTTCTCTACAGAGCTAAAAAAGACTACTCCGGACAAATCCCGTAGCGGTTAATCAACAAGTGCTTGCTGATCTTCAGGAACTTTTCCCTAAGGACCACTTAACTGTTTACACCAATGGATCCCTCATGTCCGGTAAGGTTGGATGCTCCTGGTTCTGCCCTAGCATCAATAAAGGGAAATCAATTCCTCTGCCGGCAGAGATATCAATTTATTCGGCGGAATTATTAGCAATTAAAGCAGCATTAACTTTTTTAGACTCAACCTTCCTACAATGAAACACATTATAATTTGCACAGACAGCCTCAGTGTAATCCAGTGCTAGCAAAATACATTTACTATCATTAAGAATTATATTGTAGCTGACATAAAAAACACTGTCAACAACTTTTCCACTTTAAAAAAAAAAGGTCTCTTTCGTGTGGATTAAAGGCCATACGGGCATCTACGCAACGAAAAAGCCGACAAACTTGCAAAAAATGCCACACAGTTACTCACCCCTAGAATCATAAGGATTCTTCCTTACACAGACCTTTTTCAAATATTGGAAACAAGAATTCAAATAGAATGGCAAACTGAATACTCTGCCTCGGATAAGGGAATGGCTTATAAAATATTATTTCCACTTGTGAAAACAATACCGTGGTTTAACAAACTAGACGTGGCAAAAAAAGACATAACCACCATACATCGGTTAAGAACAAACCATGGCATCTGCGCAGCGTATCTTCACAAGATTGGCATAAAACAACACCCAAATTGTGACACATGCGGAGTAAAGGAGGACCTAACATAATGTTTCACTGCAGCCAACATTCGTCAGCCAGAAATAAATTCTAACAGGATCTGGAGAAAGAAGGAGTAGAACACCAAACTACGGAAAGTAGAGCTCTTTTCAAGAATCCCAGTGTGTATAACTTAATAATAAAATTTCTAAATGATGTGTCTGTGAAAATATAATATGAACTTATTAAATTCACTAGTTTCGTGGTCCGCTTGACCAGTTAATATCATACAATTAATTAAGGTTTTTAGTTGAGATAAAAAAGTCAATGGCATGAGCAGGATTTGAACCCACAATCTTGGGCTTGATACGCCGCTGCTCTACCACTTGAGCTATCGTGACCTCGATCCACTGGACACCAACTTCCCATCTCAACCGCACCTTTTGAATTTTCCCTCTTTTTTGCCATTTTTTAATTCAAAATTCAAAAGGTGCGGTTGAGATGGGAAGTTGGTGTCCAGTGGATCGAGGTCACGATAGCTCAAGTGGTAGAGCAGCGGCGTATCATGCCGAAGATGGTGGGCTCGAATCCCGCTCGTGCCATTGACTTTTTTATCTCAACTAAAAACCTTAATTAATTGTATGATAATATGAACTGTTTAAATTGTATATATTCTTTGTAGCATGGCTGTATAATTTTTTGATACCAGGGAAAAAAGAACATAATATGTCAATCTGCAATGAAGGTGAAGGAACCTTGACAAATTTGTTAAAAAATTCCCTACAGAAACAATAATTCAGGGCCTGCACTACAACATTAGATGAAATAACACTGTTGTAATGTTGAAAATATTATTTTTCAGCAATGAATTACTATGCTATGCTACAAGTAGTCAATTTGTATTTGTGAAAATGATTTAAAATTTTTTTAAAAAGATTTCCATTATAATTCCATTAATCATACCACATGCATCATATCTTAAGGGCGTTATAAATTTTATTAAAAAGCAATGAAATGTTTTAATGAGGATATGGTTATATATGAGGATTAATGTATAACTATTTGTTTTCTCACCAATTTTGATAATAGACAACTTGGTCTTCCTCAAGGTCCGTAATGTCTGTATGCCTTTTTAGCCTCTCTATATCTGCATTGGATTCTAAGCATCGTGAGGCAAAGTGGCAAAAAAAGAAGCCGTTTTTGTAATTGTACCTATCGAGCGGTGTCCCGTGCTTTGCGTGGTGGACCCTGTGGTCTACGGCCCAGTTGTGGATTGAACCCTATAAACAAAATTCACAATTTTGTGTTATTTCACAATTTTAAATTCGAGCAATATTCAAAATATCTCTGGAAATTAGTACTTTTCCCATAATTGTAAGTCTGTTTGTATACAGTGTACAAGATTTTTGGCCAGAGTGGTGCAAGTATATAATTTTTGTGCCGGTATAGATTTTTAATAAATAAAATAAGATTTATATATACTCACTGTAAAATATATGTAAAAACTAAAAATTTAATTAAACATAAATCAACATATTTTATGAACAACAAAGGATCAAAATATTGACATTTTAGTCATTAGAGTTCTTTCTTAAACCTCAAAAATTCCGTGTCTGGTCTGACACCTTAAGAAAGAATAGCGCATTATTTTTTTTCAGTGTATAAAAATGCTAGTTTACATTGCAAGCGAGAAGATGGCATGCGGCGAGGAAGGTTCTTAACGCCCAGTGAGCTTTGTAGGTACGATGAGCCCATAGCCTGTGGCAGCCCAAAGTGAGTCCTAGAGTTCCCAAAAAGACTAGAAACAGGCCTGAAAAATCAAAATTAATCTTAGTTGGTCATTCATTATCATATCAATCGTATTAATTGATTCTTACAGAAAAGAGTAGTTTTTATCGATGCTGCTACGAATACATAGTACAACCCGTATAACGCGCATGTATGGATGTAGATCTGGAAAAGGACGGTGACCCAGCTCGTCTCCACTTTCGACACTGGCACCTCTTTATTTTCAGGCGCCTTTTCCATACTCGATCTGCAAGTACAATAATCATACATAATTCAAGAGTCAAAAAACTAAAACATGAGTTTTTGAAAGCATCATAATTTTAAATGTAATAACTTTTAAAAACAACCAAAAATCTTTATCTTAATTTTGACATAATTGGTTATTGCTTCTTTCTATTACTCACCGGTTATTAAAAAACTCGAACAAAAGTTAATTTTAATCATTGTAACTAAATTTGGAATAAAATGAGGCCAATTAGACAAAAAACAACACAGATATCAAGGAATAATCTAATCTAAACAGTCTAATCAGGACAATTAAACTTTAATTATTCTATTATAATTGTCTTTAGTTGTTACTGGATTAAATGGATTTATTTAGGGGCATTGATGGTCGCAATGGTTTAGGCATTTACTTGCTGGTCGTCACTGTAAGGTAAAGGTCCAAATGGGCTTTTTTTTTCAAAAACACTGTGACCCCCCAGGGGTTCGTATAAATGCGTAGTTCATATACCCTCATTAATAATAATAATAAAAATTCATCACATATGGTCATGATTAATATTTTAAGTAGGGTCCAAACTCACTGGTGTACAACAGAGAAAAATCAAAGCCTGTAAAATCGTTTTTTTAATTATTATTATTTAATTATTCAGAAATCGTGAGATGCGGTCTGGTGTGATGTAGGTTTCAGAAAAACATTTTCTTTATCGTGCCAACGTTTCGATCTTTATTGAAATCATCTTCAGGGCTCAAAGTGTTTGTCTTCTGTGTAATTGTGCCATTCTTGCGTGTCGTGCTGAGAGTGGCACCGCATCCCACGATTTCTGAATAATTATCGATTAACGGTCACTAATCACCACACATTATTATTTAAATTGGCCTGTGGTACAGTTCATCGTCCATGGATATAAAGAATTACATACATTTTATGACAGACTTCATTTAACCTGGTCGAATAAAAGTAAATAAAAGCACACATCGATGTGCAATTTTTAAGACATAGAAGGAAATGGACAGACTGACCAACTAGCAAAAAAGGGGCAGCTCTCTGACCCTTGGGGCCAAAACCACTAGATGATCCGAAGTGCGCGCTTATGATGGAACTGGAAAAATGGCTTTAGAAAGAAAAACCGTATACGCGGTCTTTGGTCCAAAAGTAAGTGTGTCTACCTAATATGGCCTATCCTTAGTCGGGAAAGTATCTGAATCGAAGATCGGCCGTGCTCTTGACGCGCGATTAACGAAAATGCCGTGCATAAAATGTGTTATATTAAAATATAAAGTTTATTAAGGCCGGGTACCTCGTAAAAAACCGAAGTTACCTGCACACTATTTTTACATGTTAAAACTAGAAGAAAAAAAGACAAAAAAAAACAAAATGTAGAAAGGGTTAAATTGGTAGATAGACAGGTAGAAAGAGAAAATGGCTGAAGAGAAAAACAGGCAGAGATCAAAAAATAAAAATCTATAGATATAACGTGAAAGAGATAAATCGAAGGCCAATACTGAAAAATGAAGGAGAAAAAAAAGAAAAAAAAAGAAAAGGAGATAGATTCTCAATTAGACAATTACTTAGGAAATCAAAATCATAAGTTTAACATTAAAAGTTATATAAGAAATGAATATGGAAATATTTATTACTAAAATATAATAAATAAAAACGTTGATATTTTCTCGCTCGTGAGGTTTTTATTATATATAATATATATATGTTGTTATTTTTTTAATTTTCCAGCCGTTTTTTGGAAAAGAGCCGTATAAAAATGTTACCAAAGATGTTCTCTAGACAGCCATTTTTTATACGAAATGAGGCATGCAAAAACTTTCCAAAAATATTATAATTTTTATCTGTTTGAAGATGAAATAGCGCTAAACACAATACTCGAAATCGGACAAATCGTTTATTAAACAAGTGAAATGTAATTTATCCAGAACTAGATATGTAGATAGACAAGAGATAGAGGTAGAGAAAAACAGAAAGACAGACATAATGAGAGAGAGAGAGAGACAGAGAGACAGACAGACAGTCAGACACAGAGAGAGAGAGAGAGAGAGAGAGAGATAGAGAGAGAGATAGAGAGAGAGAGAGAGAGAGAGAGAGAGAGAGAGAGAGAGAGTGAGAGAGACAGACAGACAATGAGACAGAATGAGTGAAAAAGTGGAAACGAGGAAAAAAGAGAAAATTGGATAGTGATTGAATCATAAGAGATAAAAGATAGAGTAAAAGAGTGAGAGGAGTAAAAGTAAAGTAAGAATTGAAGAAAAATAGATAAATAAATATATATATATATATATATAGAGAGAGAGAGAGAGAGAGAGAGAGACAGACAGACAGACAGATGGAGAGACAGAGAGAGGGAGAGAGAGAGAGAGAGAGAGAGATAGAGAGAGAGAGAGAGTGAGAGAGAGAGAGAGAGACAGACAGACAGACAGATGGAGAGAGATAGAGAGAGAGAGAGTGAGAGAGAGAGAGAGAGACAGACAGACAGACAGATGGAGAGACAGAGAGAGGGAGAGAGAGAGAGAGAGAGAGAGAGTCAGTCAGACAGACAGACATAATGAGAGTGTGAGAGAGAACATTTGTTGTTAATTTATTAAAAATAATTACGAGAGCATAATTAAGAAACGAGGCGACTAACGATAATGACGCAAATTATTTTAATTCTGACCTTACTAAAATGACCTTTAATCGAAGGTCCCATCGAAGTATCAACAATAAAATTATTTACAATGTCAAATGCGAAAAAGGCAAAACCGAAATATTCTTTGCGATTTTCAAAAGAAAATTGTTGAACGAATCTCCTTTCAGAAACTGTTTACTGGTTTATCTTAAATATTCGATACATCTTTACGGAATGATAGTTGAAAAGTAGATTTTTTTTAAATAAATAATTTATTTGTAGCCTGTACGCATGAAACACATGTTACAAATTGGTAAGTATGTTTTTTTTTTCTATGGCGCAAAACTAAAACTACGACTCTGCACTGGACACGGAGGAAAGAAGCTTTGAAAGTTTTTTTTTTCTGAAGATTTTACATAGGAGATTAGATGCGCTGGTCTGGGGATAGCTTCGCGAAACTCCATAGTCACTCCGCATGTCAAGAGTGGTCGCAGTGTTGTGCAGAGTTAGTTGAGTTTTGACAGTCAAAACAGATTTCGAACTTTGCACCTCGGTAGTGAAGTCTTTTGTTAAATTTTTTCTTTCTGTCTTGTGTAGAGATCCAACGTCAGTCTTAAGTTTAGAACGAGTGACATCGTTAGCTCCTTGTTATTGATGTACAGTGGAGAGCAAGACTTTTTTTTAATGTAAAAGGACAGTGCGTAAATATATTTCCACATTCAGTCTTTTCTTCCATTTTTTGAACCAGATTTTGATCAACGCTAGGCGTTCTTGGCAATTATTTGGCAGGATTCGGGTTAGGAGAACTGTGGTAATAATGGTGTTGGTATGTACGGGAAAGTCAGCAGGAAAAATGGCCCACAGGATAGGACCAAGAACGTCCCCTTGTGGGACGCCGACTTGTATTTATGTGATACCTGAGTAGTTCCCGCTCTTAACTCTGAAGCAGTGATTACGAGGATTCGAGGAATAATTTGATTAAAATTACGAGCTGGAAATATCAAAAATTCATACACGGTTCCCAAAATAAAATAAATTATTAAGATCGGAGAATAATATTAAAACGAAACAAAGATCAATAAGTCATAAGGGAAAAATAGACAATAAGATCGAGGACAATAGGATGACTGTAAAAAAATGATAAAAATTCAGTCAGGAAAAAGGGAAAACTGAACTTGAAGTCTGAGAATACGAAATATTTAATTCTTTTGTATTCAAAAAGTGCCCGATCGCAAAGAATAATTAATTTTACGAATCTTGTCACATAAATATTTTTAGTTAAATCTAAAGGGCAATTATTAGCAGTAAAAACAACTTAATTACAGTACCAGGAGGCGTCGGTGGCCGCAACGGGTTAGGCTTTGACACGGCGCTCATCACTGTAAGGTAAAGGTCCCGGGTTCGAATCCAGCGGCCCTGCATTCAAACCCGACATACTTACAAATGTGCTTTTTTTTTTCAAAAACACCGAGAGTTTATATAACCTCTGCTGTTGCGAACCCGTAAAAATAAATAAATAAATTTTAAAAAAATTACAGTTCTACAGGTATTAAATAGAAATAAAAGAGCAAACATAGAATCGATTTGTAAAACATTGTCTGGTCGACCTTTAACTGTCTGTTTCATAATTTTCTCCAATTAGCATTGTCTCAGAGCAAAACGAACTAGACAATCGCAAGTATAAATAGAGCTTTTTCTCAGGAGGTATTACATAGAATATTTTTCTATTTATTATAAAATCAACGAAACTATTTCGATTGTATAGAAGGTCGGGAAATCTTTTAATATTTTTCTTGCAGAGGATGGCTCGACTGAAGAAACAGGAGCAAAAATCGGTTTAAATTATGTACAAATTTGCCTTTTAAAAATTGTATGTCTAATAAAAATCCAAGTCTGTGTTTTAGGTGTTTTATTTCAACTTTTATCGTACCTCTCACTGGCCGGGTCGTAATTAATTCTCTACCGCTCCTTACCGCCTTTCAGGAAGAAAAAAAGGCCCGACGGAGTTGCGCCAAAATTCTACAAATTTGAGTTTATATTAGGACAACTTGCATACAAAAAAAAATCTTTCTACAAACAGTTAATTTCAATTAACTTTGTTAACTCTACCTGTTTCGAGTAAGTCGTGACTGCTGTACGGTGAGAAGTCCGGCTGAAGAATGAAAGAATATCTCGGTTACGTGACTTCTCGAAAACAAGAGCCATTGTTCACACGATTTGAATTATAGCTCGATCACTTCCGGTCCAGCCCTTAAATTTACCCCCGGTCATATCGTTTCTTTTTTTAATCTTTTTGGACGCTATACTGAAAAATACACGTGCCGTTTCAATTAATGGACCGTGCAAACTAGACTAGAGCCCGGATTTCTATGCAATTGCATATTCTTTGTGCAAACATTTACGACCGTGGAGACCAGATATTTATCCCATTTGTCCTGTGGTAGTTCAATTTCATTCTACATATATTTGAAGAATATCGCCAATTTGACAAAAATTTATTACTAGGGAGCTGATTTTTATATATTAAAACATCAAAATAAGTACATAAATATGTCTTTATTTTTGACTCTTGTCTATCTAGCTAAATATCTGGGAATGATCTTAGATGCCAAGCTGAAATGGAAAGTGCACGGGAAGAAAAAAAGAACAGAAATAAGTTTAAAGTATAGACAACTTGTGGAAATACAACACGGTGGAAATACAAAGATTTTTATGTATTAAAAAACTCAAAATATGCATAAATATATCATTATTTTTGACAAAATATATATTTATTTTTAGCAAAATATTTAAAAAATTCCATGGATATCAGCTTGAAATATTTTGGGGATTAGTCCAAGGGATTTTTCAAGGGTATAATTTGGCCCTTTTACCCCTGTACCTACTCCCTATTACATTTTTGATCCATCTGTGTATCATATTGGGGTCCTTAGTGAAACTTTTGGCTACTTTTTTTCCAAAGATTTTTATTATGTATGACCACTAGGAAGGGTCTGTCAAAGTTGAGTTTTTCTCATTTTGTCAATTTATTTTAATATTATCCAGAATTTTGGAGTGGCTTCTCTTTTTGATATATTACTTTGTACAATGATTTCATTTATGTTAGTCTCTTTTTTTTCAGTAAATATAGTCAATAATTATACGATACAGCGATACAGCTAAATATCTGGGAATGACCTTAGATGCCGAGCTGAAATGGAAAGTGCACATGAAGAAAAAAAGGACAGAAATAGGTTTAAAATATAGACAACTATACTGGTTGATAGGACTTGGCACGAACCTTGCTATACAAAATATTCTTATACAAACGTCTTAAAGCTTATATGGTCTTATGGTTTTCAACCATGGGCTGTACCAAACACAGCAATATCAAAATCATACAAACACTCCAAAATAAAATAAGGACTTTCATAAGGATCATAAGATCCTTGAGGTCATGGCGGAAATACAGATTTGCCGCCAAACACCAGCCTGAGAATGTGGAAGCAACTCCTACATAGTCAAAACACTGTCAAAAGGATAAAAAGAACAAAGCCTATGAGCTAGCATTAGTTAATGGTAAAATGTAAATCTTGGACCAATGGATTTATAAGAATGTAAATATTTATTTATTCTATATATATTATTGTAAAAATTAATGGTTGGTCTAATAAGACCAGTATTAATAAATAAAGTAAATTTAAAAAAATGTTTTTTATCTGAAAAAAGGTAAAAGTAAATGATGTAGTTATGTGTGTAATATGTTATTCTAGACATTCTTTTGTTGATTTTTTTCTAATTTCTGCTATTAAATATTTGATGAATGGATTGTTATCATCCAACCTTGATTTAGGCATGCTTTAGCCAAAATTACCCTTATTTGCTTATAATTAACCTAATTAACCCAACATATAACAAGGATGGAATATGTAATTAATGGATTTTTAGTCCAGTTTAGTGGGTGAGGTTAGGAAAACAGTAAAAATTGTAAAATCGTCACTGAGCAGTATTTCGCTATTTTATATTATATTTTGAATGTATGCAATTAACGTTTTAATGGCAGGATTAATAATATGGATATATTTTTATTGTTAGCACATAGAGGTAAAAATAAATGTTATGCTGTCTTTGTTCAAGCCAGTCCCTAGGTTTTACACTTCTGATTAATTTTACAGTTAATTAAATTTTAATTAAAAATCTAATCTTTTGTAATAACATAAAAATATACAATAAATAGTACTTTTATAGTGTATTATATTTAGTCAATATATTTACAAGAATTTTTTATATAGAAAAAATACACTTATAGTGATTTGTTGGTCTTTAAAATGAAACAAATCTCTTTTAGTAACTACATTAAAAAAAATTGCCTTTATAATAAAAACAAATAAATAAGGATTCTTATATAAAATAATCAATTTTTCTTATCGACAAGTTCTACTTGGTCATATGGTGTATCAGGGTCGCCGTATCCCCAAGAGCTGGGCCACGTGCCGTCCCCAGATTTGAGAGCTTTGCGTTTCACCATATCATATGATGCCGTCTTCCTGTCGTAAGCCCATCCAATGCGCGCCATCAGGTCAATAAATCCAGTTGTGAGGTTGTACGCATACGCCCCAAACTCGGAAGTTTTATAATCCCAGGGGAAGACGTGGTGATAGTTGTGCCACCCTTCACCCAAAGCTGACATACTCACAAACCAATTCTCAACCGGGCTAATAAACCTTTAAAAAACAAATTGTAACAACTTAAGTAAATTATACATTAAATTCACTAATTTCGTGGTCTGCTTGACCAATTAATATATTATAATTAATTAAGGTTTTTAGTTGAGATAAAAAAGTCAATGGCACGAGCGGGATTTCAACCCACGAGATTCGGCTAGATATGCTGCTGCTCTACCACTTGAGCTATCGTGACCTCGATCCACTCGGACACTAACTTCCCATCTCAACCCCACCTTTTTATCTCAACTAAAAACCTTAATTAATTAAAAGATATTAATTGGTCAATCAGACCACGAAATCTAATGGATTTAATAAGCAAAATGAAGTATAATTAATGCCTTATGCAAAAATTACCTTACTATTTATTATAATTAATTAAGGTTTTTAGTTGAGATAAAAAAAAGTCAATGGCACGAGCGGGATTCGAACCCACTATCTTCGGCTTGATACGCTGCTGCTCTACCACTTGAGCTATCGTGACCTCGATCCACTCGGTCACCAACTTCCCACTTGTGCCATTGACTTTTTTATCTCAACTAAAAACCTTAATTAATTATAATATATTAATTGTTCAAGCGGACCACGAAATTAGTGAACTTATTATTTATTTTATAAATTTGACTTACTTGTCATAAGGCTTATTTCCATACATGTGTGCAAAACTATTGACTGAAAATGCAATGTTGAGTGTTGCCGAAAATCTTGTATTAAACGGAAGAAAGAATGCTGTTATTATATCCTCATCCCAATAGTACCAAGGGACCAATACTGGGATAGCGATGGTGATTATAGCAAAGAGAGGGATGAATAACCTGAAATTAATATTATGTAAATACAATTTGATCGTTTTCTTCTTCTTGTATTACCTTTTTTGCCACATGACGATCGGATCATGTTCTAAGTCTGACATATCGACCTGCGCTCTCTTTGCCTCTACCTCCGGCTTTGGAGTAAGAACAAGCCAGCCCACATGGGAGAACCAAAATCCTCTTCTGGCGTCATGAGGGTCCGAGTCCGACTCCGAGTACTTGTGATGTACTCGGTGATCAAGTGCCCACATGTAGATATGTCTCTTAAAACAAAACAAAAGTATGTCCTATACTTTGGATCCACTGGTTTCCAACCATTTGGAATCTTATTAAGTTAAAAACCTTATTTAAACATTCAAGAAATGGAAAACAATTTGTGTTAATCAAATGACTATATGATATTATGTTCAACATAACCTATCAATAAACTTGTTTAATAGGTCCTCTGTTCTGAATCTTGGAGGAAACAGGTAGTTTTGTTGTATATAGATTTATAGTTTTGCCCCTAGCATGTCTTAAGAGTGAATATATTTATTGGGGTAAATGTATATAGCATGAGGGGCTGATGATTGAGTACCACATTGACCCTCAATAAGGTTAGTTTATATTTACAATAGTGTAAAGAATGATGGAGGAATATCGAGTAATCCACCACCCTAAATGAATGGTATGTAAATAAGAAAGAATGTATTTAAGAGTGAATGATGGTGTGAATGGGTTTGGTTTTATGAACTGATGGTGTTGGGGGCTGAAATAACCTAGCTGTGAATAGCTCCTGTAGCCCAACTTCAGCAGATAATAATAAGTAAGACAGAGGTCTGGCCCGGACCAACCAAGGATGGGTGATTCTTGAAGTCTGCCAATCATTTATTGTAAATTACCAATACTAGAATTGATGGTGGGCTGAGATGAGTGAAAGGATGAGTACATGCATGTGCAGATTATATCTTATATAAATCAGTAATTATTTCTAATAATTTCTAACAGTTCTTTGAAAAAACATGTTCTATAAATACCTGCCCGGCGATAGTGAACAAAAATGCGAGCAAAAGTCTCAAGGGCCATTTCGCCTTATATGACTTATGAGACCAAAGGCGGTGGGCACCTGCTGTTATTCCCACACCCGACGCATATACCAGGAAAAAAGCTGAAATGACAAAATATTAATAAACTACCTTAAATACGCCATATTGAAACTCACTCCAAAGGTTTGTTTGCCATTTGGCAGATGTGAAAGCAAGGTAGAGGCCATAGAGTCCGCCTAGATGGAGAAAGAGCTGTGCGCCGAGGTCCGGAAACCTCCACCTTGGTACAAACACATTCTCCTTTGTCTCATCAACATCTTTCTTTATCAACACATGATCTGTTAATCTCTTTACTTCCTTAAAACAATAATTAATAATATGACATATTTTTAATTAATTTATCATTCTATTAGTATAGATACCTTTAAATGAGAATAATATCTAAGTTACATATAATATTGTAGATTTTCTTGACTTAAAAATATTTAAATATTTAAGTTTAATATGTGAAATAGAGCATTATTTAAAAGAAAAACATCATAATTGGTGATATAAAGTGAGAATAAAAATAAGTATATATAGCAATTAATTTGATGTACTGATTTAGGTCTGAACGAGTTTTGTCATTAAAATCAGAATGAATGCCTTTTATTAAAACATTTTTCGCAAATCTATAACCAAAAGTTTATTTTATTTTTTAATTTAAGCATTGCAATTATTGAGGCATTGTGTTTAGATTGGCGTAAATAAATGTAGTGAAGTTTAGCATTGCTCTTGACATTGCCCTTGAATAATGTTTCATATATTTCACACTAATTTTGGAATCTACAAAAGTTTTTTACTTATCATCCCTCTAGGCAATTTCAACAGATACTTACTAAATTTGGCGACATCTTAGTTGTTCAAAGTAAATCATCAATGCGAGCAGTCCTGAAAAGAAAGAAGGGCCGAAATAAAATTATTTGTTAGTACGAGTCTATCTAGAATTAAAAGTTACCATAATTTAATTACACTGCTCCTTATGCACACGTGTGACCTGAAATAGAAAAATATAATTTTAAAATTTAAGATTATTTGGAGACCGTGAGATGCAGTCTGGTACAATTGGTAGGTTTAAAGAGACATTTTCTATGTCATGCCACTTTTCAATCTTTATTGAGATCATCTTCAGAGTTCAAAGTCTTTGTTTTTTGTGTAGATTCTATTACTGTGTTGAGAGTGCCCTGGATTTTGTGTGTTTGTTTTCTAAACCTACCAGACTGCATCTTACAATCTCCAAATAATTAATGATCACTAAATACCACACATTAAAAATTTAATTTTGCATTGATCCTTACTGTCATCAGCAATATTCAATTATTCAATTTATTATCGACTTAGAAAATGTTTCTTATAGCGCTTTTTCTCAAGCCGTCACGCAATTTTAATTTGACACTTTAATTGATTTTTCAATCAATCATCCCTAACCACCCCAAACATTTATCGCAATGTTTATAACAAGCTCATAGCTAACAAAATGTAATCATTTCACGATACTGACAGTCACCATTATTAAGTCAATAAAATTACACGAAAGGGTAATCAATTTGTGGAATGTTGATAAAAAATTATGGTTTTGTTTTTTTTGGTCATGTTCCTAAACATTTTATTGACAACTCCAAATGGAGTTACAATTAATTAAGGTTTTTAGTTGAGATAAAAAAGTCAATGGCACGAGCGGGATTTGAACCCACGATCTTCGGTTTGATACGCCACTGCTCTACCACTTGAGCTATCATGACCTCGATCCACTCGGACACCAACTTCCCATCTCAACCGCACGTTTTGAATTTTCCCTTCTTTTTGCCATTTTTCAATTCAAAAGGTGTGGTTGAGATAGGAAGTTGGTGTCCGAGTGGATCGAGGTCACGATAGCTCAAGTGGTAGAGCAGCGGCGTATCAAGCCGAAGATCGTGGGTTCGAATCCCGCTCATGCCATTGACTTTTTTATCTCAACTAAAAACCTTAATTAATTGTAATATATTAATTGGTCAAGCGGACCATGAAATTAGTGAATCTACATGGAGTTTGATCAACCAGTACATAGCAATGGACTACCTGGACATTTGAGCATGTAAAACACAAAAATGAACACAATACATATTTTAGTTTATTAATAATAATGTATTTTTCTCTTGTCGTTAATTTTGTATAACTAATTAATTTATTTATTTATTCTTAAGTAGTGGCAGTGTTAAGCAGATAATTTTACATTGATTCGTCTCGATTTAAAAATATGTTTGGTTCAAGTATTAATTAAGGTTTTTGGTTGAGATAAAAAAGTCAGTGTCACAAGCGGGATTCGAACCCACGACCTTCGGCTAGATACGCTGCTGCTCTACCACTTGAGCTATCGTGACTTCGATCCACTCGGACACTAACTTCCCATCTCAACCCCACCTTTTGAATTTTCCCTTCTTTTTGCCATTTATTTTCTATTTATTACATCATTTGTAATATTTATCCCAGGTGATTTCAACCGCATGCTATAATTGACCAGATTTCCTTATTTACACATATAATTGAATGCAAAGATATTTTTAAAAAATTAATTTAATTAAAATTAAAATTATTAATTAAATTTTTTAAATAATATTTGCATTTCTCATCTAATATTCTTTTGAACTAATGTAAATGACTATAATAATATAATAATAAAGCATTAAGTGTACAATAAGAAAATAGAAACTTGTTCTTTTTAGGAAGCTCTAGATTTATAGTAGGACAAGGCGACAAAAAAGTTGGATTATTTGTTGTGGAAGCAAAGCAAATAATTATAATAATAGAGAGAACAATATCACCTTAACCAAGACCTTACATAAAAAGAATAATTAATTGAAATAAGCAATTTGATCAATTAGACAACTAAACATAAACGGATTAATTATGATAATAGTGGAAAATATTGTTGCATCATTAATATCAAAATTTGAACAATTGTACAGCTGCTGTACCACTTGAGCTATCGTGACTTCGTGGTCGTGGGTTCGAATCCCGCTCGTGACACTGACTTTTTTATCTCAACCAAAAACCTTAATTGAAAAGAATTTATTTGGTCAAGCGGACCACGAAACCTAATAAAATATTATAATAATGATGATTACGATGGATACTAGGAAGTGGGGGGTTTCATTACTACAAACGCATTGAAAATCGATAATAAAATTTCACCGTGTACGCACAAAAGTAGATGATCACTAGATAGATCACTCACCTCAGTCACGCTTTTGTTGGGTTGGTGCAGGATTAATGCACGTTTTGAAAATATGTTCTATTTTCACAGGTGCTGTCGTGTAAACAAAGCTAAATCCTAAATCTAATTTGTGGATTATAATAAATGCTTTTAACTGTTATCTTTTATATAAAACATCTTATTTTATTTGTACAAATTTAAACTTGGGCGAAGTGCGGTGCAGGGATGGTTTCAGAGATTTCTTGGAGATTTCGATCTGGAAGACAGAGGAGGTCGCGGTAGGCCTTCCGTTCTGGAGTACGACCAACTCAAAACTTTGAAGAAAATTCACCATAAGACAACACTGGAAATTGCGGAAGTGCTTAGTGTTGACCAGTCAACTGTGGTTCGCCATTTGGAGCGAACTGGTAAAGTAAACAAGCTAGACAAGTGAATACCGCACGAACTAACCGAAGCCCAAAGAAATCGACGCTTTGAAATTTGCACGTTTCTTCTTTTGCACTACCAAAAGGATACGCATCATCACGTGCGATGAGAATTATTTTCGGTACGATAACAGGAGGCGTACAGGTCACTGGTTGGACAAGGATGAAGCGCCAAAACATTTCCCGAAAGCAAATCTGCACCCCAAAAAAGCTGCGGTGACTGTTTGGTGTGGTCGTTCACTATAATTTCCTGAATTATATTGAAACTATCACAGCGGGGAAACATCGCCAAGAAATTGACAAAATGCGCCGAAAATTAATTCACGATAACGCCAGGCATGTCGCGATGCTAACTCTGCGGAAACTTATGTACTTAAGGTATGAAACGTTACCGCACCCTCCGCATTCACCCGACTTCTCGCCTACAGACTTCTTTTTGATTTGTCTTTTGTTCATTTCTTGGGGGATACAATTTTTAGAGAACGTGGTGAAGGCGAAAACGCCTTCCAAGAGTTTATTGTGAGCCGAAATGAAAATTTTTATGTCTGCGGAATAAAAGAGCTTATTACACGTTGGCAAAGATGAATAGATTGCTACGGAAAATGCTTCGAATAAATTTTCTTTATTTTATAAAAATTATATAAAAATATCCTCGGCTCTAGAAAACAAAGAATACTGCTCAGCCGTATTTCTGGACGTTACGGAAACATTTGACCGAGTATGGCACCCCTGCCTCCTCTATAAGTTAAAATGTATCCTCCCTCATTCCTACTATCTTATCGTGAAATCCTTCCTCTCAGATCGATGGTTTAAAGTAAGAATCGGCACCGATTTTTCACCTATCACACCAATCAAAGCTGGCGTTCCACAAGGAAGTATCTTAGGCCCTTTCTCTGCACCGTCTACACTGCTGATCCACACATCCAACACACAAATCACAACCTACGCGGACGACACCGCAATCTTATCAACACACACCAATCCTATCCTAGTAATAGAAACACTTCAACAACACCTGAACCTTATTACCAACTGGTGCAATCTGTGGCGGATCAGGCTAAACGAACAAAAAAACCAACAAGTTACGTTTACGCTCAAACGTCAAACCTGTCACCAGTGCACATTTACAAGATAATACCACCATCGAACCAAGTCCGCTACCTTGGGCTTTACTTAGATAGTAGACTTGGAACCCACATACACGATTAAAACGGCAAGAACTTAACAAAAGATATGGACTACTCAAACACCTACTTGGACCAAAATCAAAACTAAGCATATATAACCGCTTAACACTCATCAGACCTATTTGGACCTACGGAGTCGAGCTGTGGAGCTCAGCCAAATCATCCAATATCCAACGAATTCATCTTTTCAATCTAAAGTTCTACGCCGTATCTTCAATGCTCCCGTCTATGTCACCAATCAAACGATCCATAAAGATCTTAAAATCCCTTTCGTGAAAGATCTTATCCGAACACGCTTCTTCACTTTCCACTCTAAACTAACCCTCCACCCTAACCCACTAGCCCTAACTCTTTCCGCAACATCTCACCCTTACATCCTCCTCGCGACCTTCTATCTAACCCACCGAATTAACTTTAACCCCCCCTCCCCAAGTAAATAAAAGAGAGTTCCAGCACAGCAGGTTTCTCTCCCCACTGGCTCCTGGTCTGACAGGTCTGTCAGATTTGTTTATAACTAAACTATTTGCTCAGTGAATATTATGTACAGATAGCAGTAAATAAAATAAAAAAGATTACAAAAATTAAATATAGTTTTGACGTCCTTTTCAAACCTGCATTATTTTTGCACCAGCCCAATAACAACCCGTTACCGGTACACCTCGGTTACAAGAATATTTTAAAAATATGTATTTTTCAACCGAAGCTATTGAACATGAATTAATAATTTGGTGCACACAGTATTATTGATTTTATTTTTGGAAATGACTAACAATTGAATGTTCCAAATAATTCCACTCATAAAGGAATTGGACGTTAATATAATTTTACAGTGAACAAGATAACACTTTTAACAATCCTTACGACAGTTAAGTATTAAGAAATCGTGCTAGTTAAGTGTTTATTAATCGTCTGCAGAGATAAAGCCGATAAAATTGAGAACGTTTCTCACTTCAAGACCACCTACGGCCATTATCATTGCTTGATGTACGCTATATAATTTCCCCTCGAATATATTGTGTTCAAAGATCTACTAGACTAACTTACAAATTTAGATATCTTTATTTATTTATTAAAGTATAAGTTCATTCCCATAAAACCACTTTTATAAACTCGAGACCGTAACAGAAAACTTTACATCTGGGATGTTTTAATATTAAACAAGAAAATCAGTCAAATAGTTTTTGTACGATACGTTTATTAACTATGAAAATATTTAATCTTTTTGGACTCATAATTGTACTATAATAGATAAAATGGCTTACCGACAGTAGGCTAAAGGATATGTTGAAGGCGAATAATCGTGCCGCTACGCGCTGGCAGGATGGGCATATACTGGTTTATCGTATTTTACGACTGTTATCTTCTATGCAAACAGGCGTTTCGAGTCTTCAGTAATCAACCGGGTAATCTTCACAAAAATAACTAAAGTTCAATTGTGTGTTTTTTTTCAATGGTAAATTGAAGTACAATATGTAGGGAAAACCGAACTGTACTCGCGTCAAAAGCTGGCCATCAAATACAACAGTTTTTATTTGTATCTGTATTTTCTTCCTTGAGATGTTATTCAAATCAATGTGAACAACCTTCCAGGCTTGGGAAAGTTTTCGCTGAAGAGGGACAAGGAGTCCCGAAATATATACGATATACACGCTTGGGGCAAAAAAAAATTCCACCAACTTGATTTGTATATATTTTTATACATTAATCAAAGTTTCACGTTTTTTAACGTTTAATAATAAAAAAAAGTTTAAAAAAAAATAATTATTCAGAAATCGTGCCATGCGGTCTGGTGTGATGTAGGTTTCAGAAAAACATTTTCTTCATCGTGCCAACGTTTCGATCTTTATTGAGATCATCTTCAGAGCCTGGGATTTACAAACATTGTTTAAATTTAACAAATACATGTTGGATGTGGAACAAAGTGAATTTATATAATGCCAAAGATATATATTTTTTTTATATTCGAGCAAAGTATTTCTACAGAATTTTTTATAATTTATTTCTTTGATTGAATTTAAAAAAAATTAAAAAAAATATTTTTTGCATTTGATAAATAATTTTTTTTCCACATCCTACATATATTTGTTAAATTTAAACAATGTTTGTAAATCCCAAGCCCTGAAGATGATCTCAATAAAGATCGAAACGTTTGCACGATAAAGAAAATGTTTTTCTGAAACCTACATCACACCAGACCGCATCTCACGATTTCCGAATAATCATCAACTAACGATCACTAATCACCACACTTTTAAGTATAATAAGTTTAGGAACACATATGGAAGGGGTTAAGTTAGCACAGGAAGTTTATCACAGAAAAATGTAAAACTTAATGGCACGAGCGGGATTCGGACCCACGATCTTCGGCTAGATACGCCGCTGCTCTACCACTTGAGCTATCGTGACCTGAAAAATGGCGGGCGAAAAGGAGGGAAAATTCAAAAGGTGGGTTGAGATGGGAAGTTCCGAGCGGGATTCGAACCCACGATCTTCGGCTTGATACGCCGCTGCTCAACCACTTGAGCTATCGTGACCTCGATCCACTCGGACATTTTTTGTCTCAACTAGAAAGCTTGATTAATTGTAATATATTAATTGGTCAAGCGGACCACGAAATTAGTGAATTTAATGATTAAAAATTAAGTATAAGTATGGCACAATACGCACAAAACAAAACTTTAAGCCCTGAAGATGATCTCAATAAAGATCGAAACGTTGGCACGATAAAGAATATATTTTTCTGAAACCAACATCACACCAGACCGCATCTCACGATTTCTGAATAATTATCGACTCACGGTCACTAATCGCTACACATTAAAAAAAAAAATGCAAATTGCTAAGGAAAATGAAAAAAAAATTAAAAAGACAGACAGATAAAATTTGTATTCATTAGATTTTTAATTAACATTTCAATATCGCGTATTTCATCCTCTTGCCTTAATTACATCGACGCCTCGGCATACTTTCTACCAGTCTGGAAATGTCTCTTTGCTGGAGTGTTATTGTTGTGTTATTTTATCCAAACTGACGAGGCGAATAAAACTAGGATTTAATTATTTTAAAATGAAATAACATTATCTATTTCAACTGGTTTTCTGTTGTACTCCCTTGAAATAAGCATGGAAAATTCACTTTTTAGATCAGACTAAATTAAAATCATTTTCAACTATTCCAAACTCTTCAATGTAGAATTCAAAGTCTTTGAATATTTCGAAACTCTCGTCCCACTTGCCTGCAGGACGATGAAAGTGCATTACAAAAAAAGCCTGACAATGCAAAACAACGCTTATATTTTAGTTGAAGTAATATTTTCTCCTATCGTGCCAAATCGGGAACGGGTAAAGATTTGCTTTATCGCAAATGATGACGAGGAGTGTTCTAGCAGGGAGTGTTAATTGTTGTTATAGTTCTCATTGCAATATCATGCTTATTTAGTTAATAGTTCTTATTGCGTCTTTACATTTTGTCCTACTTCATATCAAAGTACGAGGAAATCAATTCGGAGAAAAGAAAACGTTCCATCTTTGTTAGAATAGTTCAGTATTTGTAGTTTGGACGTTTCCGTTCAAAACATCGATGATTGGCTGATCAATATGAACTATGACACTACAAATTCCTTACACCACAGACTATAAGAGTAAATCTAACATTGATTATTGCACTGATATAAATCAAAATCACAAACCTATACCAAATAGCTTTAAAACTAATTTACGAAACATTCAATCGTGCCAACTAACAGCTTGCCTTTTTCTGCAAAAGGGAAAAAAATTCCGAAAGAAATATCAGATTTGTTGCCTCGTGAGGATTATCTTCCGTCATACGATCAATTATATTTTATAGACTCCTCCAATGTTGTGGTGGTGCATTCAGGACGCCCAGAAATTAAAAAACTAGAGGGCGCAGTTTTGATAGCCCTTGATTGCATTTCGGCTATAAGCCCTACTGAAGCATACAGTATTGCAGCTGAAACAATGCAAGACGAAAGTTGAACTTGGGTTTTTTTGGTAGTGGATATGTGTAGATTTAACAAACCTAAAGCAGAAGAAATAGCTTTCAATTAATTAAGGTTTTTAGTTGAGATAAAAAAGTCAGTGCACGAGCGGGATTCGAACCCACGATCTTCGGTTTGATACGCCGCTGCTCTACCACTTGAGCTATCATGACCGCGATCCACTCGGACACTGACTTCCCATCTCAACCCCACGTTTCTATCTCAACTAAAAACCTTAATTAATTGAAAGATATTAATTGGTCAAGCGGACCACGAAAACTAGTGAATTTGCAGAAGAAATAGCATGAGTTTTCCATTCTTTAGAAAGAGAACCAGATCCTCGACACATTGTTGTGCATATCGTCAAAGCAGTCCAAAGTTAATTTATGTTTTGTTCTCATTCTGACTCCATACCTACTGTTCTATCCCTGTAGTGAGCTAGGATGGGACTCCAAACTGCATGACTGCCTTCTGGACAATTCTACTTTCCTAATTCCTAAGTAAAGCGCAATCGACTCGATCCTTCTTCTAAGAAGTACTAGTTCATTGACTGTCGTTGCTGCACTTCCATTCCCTGGGGTTTTTTTATATCCCAGGTTATGTCTCCATTAAGCTGTTGCTTCACATTCGAAGATATGGATGGCTGTTTCTTCCTCCTCATTGAATAACCTACAAAAGGGTTCATCATTGAATACCCATGTTGTGTAGATGTTTTTTCAGTTGCCATTGATCGGTTAATAGTCCTATCACTCCTTTCAGTTTAGCTCTCGCTAACTGTAGTACTGAGTATAACAGTCTTGCCGAGGGTTGTTTTAGCACTGACTGTGTCTAGCACCTCTGGAGTTTATCCACTTCTCCTTTGATCGTCTTTGTTGGATATATTCTATGATAGAGGATTCTGTGTTTGTTTTTGTTATCCCAACAATAGTTAGGGCCTATATGTCGTCTTGCAGATCCTTCTCTAGTCAGTGGGTCTGCCTTTTTGTTACCCACAATTCGTTTGTGTCCTGGTACCCAAGATATCATCAGGCTATTGTGTTTCCCGAGGTTTTGGAGATTTTAGATTCACTGACTAATTATCTGCCTATTCATTGCCTAATGAGTTTGATTGGCCATATGTTGAGCTTATAGACAAAACGCCTCATCCGAGTCCTTCATGAGCTTTGGAGCCATCTATATACCATGTTTAATGCTGTTTTGATTTCTTTGAAGATTTTCTGAGGTACACCCATTTATCGCATTTATTTAAGCTTCAAAGACCAAGGAGGATCCTTGTCTGGTAGTGGGTCTGCCTTTTTGTTATTCGAAATTGCTTTGTATCCTGGTGCCCAAGATATCATCAGGCTATATTGTTTCCCGAGGTTTTGGAGATTTTAGATTCACGTGATGTGTTCGTTTTTACAAGCTAATGTGTTAATGGCTGTTTTCATTTCTTGGAACATTTTCTGAGGTAAAATCATTGATCGTATATATTTGAGCTTCAAAGACCAAGGTGAAGATGCCTAATGAGTTTGATTGCTCATGTTTTGGGCTTGCACAAAAAACGCCTGATCCGGTTCCTTCATGTGCTTTGGAGCCATCTATATACCATACCATTATATCTAATGTTCGCTTGAATTTTTCTTCTCTTTTGCAGTATGTTGAGACATCGAGTGGTATAGTGTTTCTCTGTCCCCATTTCTAAGAATGGGTGTCTGATTTTATTAATTATGGTTGTATGCCCGAATCGTTTAGTTCCCATCCAGTTTGACTGTTTCCGGAGCCAAAGAATTTTTCATCTCTTCTCCTTGTATAAATGTTTCCAACGGAGGTAAGTTTAGCGGTATTTCTAGTGCAATCGTTGGAGTTGTTTTCATCGCTCCTGTGATATTGTGATAGTTGCCAAACGTTGTATGCTACATAATGTTTGGGTGTTTTTGTTAAGCTTTGGTTCAGATTGGTGATCCATTGATTATTTTGGGTCATGGTATTGCCGCAATACGGGATGATTTTTTAAATATGAATTCAACCTGCAAACTTCAAATTTGAATAAAATTTAATTAGTTTTGAGATAGTTTTGTGAAAATATTACTCATTTGAGCATAATATCTATTCGTGATAATAAGACTGTCAGTTGACATGAAGAATCCAAATGTTAATTACCGTGTCATCATCTGAAATGGCAATTTTTTCATATTACGCCATGGAGGGCTAAAGCGATATTAACCTGTCGGATCGAACTCTTGGTAATCTGTTGTGTCGCGTATGTCAATATTATTATGTTTACCGTCTTCGACCAGCTCTAATTCGATAACGACCCCTTTCACAATTCTACCCGAAGAGAGTTTCAGTATGAAATAGGGTTTTCAAATTGTACATGATAAAACGAGACGTTAATTTACTTCTTTGGTATGACAGTTAATGACGTCTATCCGCCTTTTTGGATTGGGCTGTTTGGATGCTATTTAGGTCGTAGGTAGTTTCTACCAGAGGGAAAAGTGAATGACACGGAACAAAATCGTATTTGAAAACATTTATCCGGTTAGAGAGAAGTACTTATATATTAACGAATATATGCAAAAACTCTGTTCACGTACGGTGAAATTTATAACCTTATGATACTGAATACATAGGATAGCACGAACATTATGAAAGATTTATATTATTGAACAGCTGGGTAGGGCTGAAATAGATATAATAATGGTTCCATATTAATTTAAGTCAACTCAACGCGACACACAAGAATGACACATCTACCCAGAAAATAAACACTTTGAGCTCTGAAGATGATCTCAATAAAGATCGAAACGTTGGCACAATAAAGAAAATGTTTTTCTAAAACGTCACACCAGACCGCATCTCACGATCTCCAAATTAATTTCATTAATTTAAGTAATAAGAAGACTAATAAGACTAAGTAATAAGAAGTCTAAAGAACATAGAGAGAGAATAATAGTGAATGGAAAGATTCTTAATAGCAGAAGATATGCAGATGATACCTTGATCTTTCCAAGTATAAATGAATATCTTCATTTCTCTTGTGGAGGAAGCTTATGAGATGACGAATATGAATTAAAAATAAATATCTTAAAATAAGTTTGCAATTATAATTCGTAAGTAAAGAAATTTCTAAGACAGTAATAACTCGAAAGAGTTGCAACATATCAACGGAAAGTGAGATATCGTAAGACACCCATTGTGAACAATTCCATGCAGACTTCCGTAGTCATGACATTACTCCGATGCTTATGAAAATAATGGTGAGGGCATTTTTCGTGTTATTTGTTATTATTATTTTATGTAAGGTATTGGTTGAGATAAAAAAGTGTCACGAGCGGGATTCGAACCCACGATCTTCGGATAAACAGCCGCTGCTCTACCACTTGAGCTATCGTGACTTTGATCCACTCGGACACCAACTTCCAATCTCAACCCACCTTTTGAATTTTCCCTCCTTTTTGCCATTTTTCAAATGTGTAATCTATTCGATTCTCGGCGACAAATGACTTTTTACAACCGAGTGACAAAATTATAGCCACACCCCTAATTGTTATGATTTTTTAATGTAATGGGTTTGTACTACAAATATTTATTCAAAACACATGAAATAAATATTTTTCTTCATTAAACTTTAATTTTTCAGTAAATAAGAGAAAAAATTATTAAAATACTAAAATTAAACGATTTTGACTGGAACAAAATTATAGACACATGGGATAAAATCAATTTTATTTTTGATTTTACATTACCACTCAGTTTTATTATTTCCAGTAATCTTTCTGGAATGGTTTTGTACAAATTTTGAATAAAATCTTGAGGCAAATTATTCCAGGCAGTGGTGACAGCTGTTTTAAGTTCGTCGACAGAGTTTTACTGCTTACTGTCTTGATATACCATCCTCGATAATTTTTCCCATACATTTTCTATAATGTTCAAGTCTGGTGAGAGGGCCATTCAAGTTTTTCAAAGCTGTTCTGTGAAAACCATTCTTTAACAATTTTTGCATTGTGCACGGGTGCGTTGTCCTGCTGGAATATTGGAGTCCCTTCGCATAAATCGCTGAAACTAGTTTTTTCTTTGTCCAGTAATTTCTTGTAATATTCCGAATTGACTTTTTTTTTAAAGAAAACAAAGATTTCCTTTTTTATTACACCCAATACACCCCCAAATCATCAAAGATCCACCATTTGGCGCCGTGACAAATTTTGTTCTTCTTTAGTTAGAAAAAAGTAGTATGAAATAATTAAACGGTTGGATAATACGAAGCATACATGCTAATGGAGCCTCCTTCTTTTTTATTTGTATGTATATACATGTAGGACGAGGAATTTACTATAATTCTTATCAACTAACTAACACTTGGGTAGTAGGGGTAATAATACTATTACTAACTATAGCAACAGCCTTCTTAGGTTATGCTTTACCCTGAGGACAAATATCTTTATGGGAAGCAACAGTAATCACAAATCTGCTTTCTGTTATCCCATACGTAGGTAAAAATATTATCTTATGATTATGAGGAGGATTTTCTATTGAAAATGCTACATTAACACGATTTTTCGCTATCCACTTCCTTATACCATTTATAATTGCAGCTTTAGTGATAATTCACCTATTATATCTACACCTAATAATCTCTAATAATCCATTAGGGGTAAACAGTAACACTGATAAAATTCCATTCCACCCATACTTTTCTGTTAAAGATTTAATAAGATGCATAATAATATTATTATTTTTTATATTAATAAATACTATAGAACCACAACTTCTAGGAGACCCTGAAAACATCCCTGCAAACCCATTAGTAACTCCTATCCACATTCAACCAGAATGATACTTTTTATTTGCATACGCAATTTTGCGATCTATCCCGAATAAAATGGGGGGTGTAATCGCTATATTAGCAGCGATTAGTATATTAATAATTTTACCTTTGTTAAATAAATCAAATCTTCCTAATTCCAAATATTACCCCTTAAGAAAAATATTATTTTGAATTTTTTGTTTTACTTGATTATTATTGACATGAATTGGCGCCAAACCAGCTGAAGAACCATATATTTTTACAGGTCAAGCTTTATCGATCATATATTTTATATATTTTATTTTGTCCCCCTTAAGATCAAAATTTTGAGATAAAATAACTCAATAGTCAAATAGCTTAAATTTAAAGCGTATCCGTCCGGGCCGTCCAAATTGAATTTTTTTCGTCAGAAAGAATAACTTTTCGCCAATAATCTTCATTTTTCAAACTGTGGTTTTCAGCAAATTTGACATGGGCTAGTTTGTGGTGGGGTTTCAGAGCTGGTTTGCGTTTCAGTTTTCTTCGGACTATGACACATCTACACGGAAAACAAACACTTTGAGCCCTGAAGATGATTTCAATAAAGATCGAAACGTTGGCACGATAAAGAAAAAGTTTTTCTACAACCTACCTCACACCAGACCGCATCTCACGATCTCCGATTAATCATTAACTAACGGTCACTAAACACCACAAAAAAAAATAATAATGTCACAGTAATAGGTAATTTTGTATCACATTTATTTTATACAACGAGACCTACCAAGTTTTAATACACTTAAAGAAAAAATATTTTTAATATGAAAAATGTCACCAAAACAATTTAGTAGATTGGATGCGTATTTAAGACTTTCAAACAAAAATAAACATTTTGGGAGTTTATGGCTTATATCAGGAGGAGTTTTAATACCGGAATTGTTTACGGTTCAATATTATCGTAATAATGTTTGCAAAGTTCAATTTATTCTTTCTTTAATCTACTTTATTTTTGACTTTTGCCTTATTGTTGATCTGAGGTCTATTGACACTATTACTCATATTTTTTACTTTAATCTTTAAATAATAATTTAATTAAAAAGATTATTGATTAAAAACAATTTATTTGAGAAAAACTGTCAATAACAGTATTATCAATTTACGATAACATAGTTTTTTTATTTTATTAATGAGTTCTAGAACACACTAAACACATTATCAAGATAAACACAACAGGTAAAATCGATACTGACTGAGAAAAAAAAGTTGCTGCTTCGGTAAAATTATGAAATCTATAATTGACAACATTTTACGGTTTATACTCATGGTAATTAACAATTCGATATAATATTTACTTGAGTATGAGTCCTTATGATTTTCGGATTTAAAAGAAAACGGTTTGTAAGCACCGACGACTTGTTTTCTAGAAATGTGATAAGACAACATAAATATAGAAACGTTCAAATTATGTTTAGTACAGCATAAACAGTTTGTTTTTGGGATTCTAATTCTGTGTTTTTCGTCAATTCCCCTCGCTGTCGGCCTTGTGAAGAATAAGCTGCATTGAAAACAGTCCAGCTCTTCTTTATTAATTTTTTGTTATGAAATATCATATTTAGCATCATAGCAAAATATCATAGCATACATATAACAGTACGGCAATTAAAAAAAACAAAAGCCGGAAAAGTTTATGTTAAAGAACATATTTGTTTTACATTAACCCATTTTGGATTTTTCCCTCCCGGCTACTGTTCCTTTATGACCTCTTGTGTTCCTTGCCAAGTACCTAAGCTATCATTATGCTATTTGCCTATTTTCGCCCATTATTAGATCGCTTTATTCCGAACGGTGACATAACACGTTCAAGGATAAACAATTCACTTAGCCAGTTGGAGATTAATTCGCTCCTTTTACCGCTGGTCAAAAGACCATCTCGGTGACATAACAGCACAGATACGGTTTCTAGGGAATAAGGAAATCCTAGAACAGAACAATGTTTTCTATGAGACAATGTGGACCCTTTATCACATCCGTAGTGACTACGGATTAAAAATATTATTTTACCAGCGAATCAGATTTTTTTTTTTAGAGCAGTGGGATTGTGGGTAATGATGATATGCATATGTTATTTAATCGCCGAGCTTGCCACCTCTTTATTTGGCCTTCATCTGGGCTCTAAAAAACTGTAACAAAATACAAAAGTTGATCATTTTTGCACCCATCATCATCACATTTACCTAGTTACGTCATATTTGACTAAACCTAAATACCGATCATGAGGTATATGATTAGACTATTTTATTCAAAATGTATAATCTTTATACAGCTCAGTTCAAATAATAGATTGGAAACAAGAGTTAGGAACAGTCTGGATGTAAACGAATCGCATCACCCATGTGATAGACATATCTCTATTTTTCACAACCAATTAAGACAGAACATATAAATTACAACAAGTATAAATAGCATGGTACTTATGCAATATGTAAAAAGAATTCTTTAAGTATAATTATTCGGAAATCGTGAGATGCGGTCTGGTGTGATGTAGGTTTCAGAAAAACATTTTCTTTATCGTGCCAACGTTTCGGTCTTTATTGAGATCATCTTCAGGGCCTGGAATTTACAAACATTGTTTAAATTGAACAAATACATGTTGGATGTGGAACAAAGTGAATTTATATAATGCCAAAGATATATATTTTTTTTATATTCAATCAAAGTATTTCTACAGAATTTTTTATAATTTATTTCTTTGATTGAATATAAAAAAAATTTAAAAAAATATTTTTTGCATTTGATAAATAATTTTTTTTCCACATCCTGCATGTATTTGTTAAATTTAAACAATGTTTATAAATCCCAGGCCCTGATCTCACTAAAGATCGAAACGTTGGCACGATAAAGAAAATGTTTTTCTGAAACCTACATCACACCAGACCGCATCTTACGATTTCCGAATAATCATCAACTAACTGTCACTAATCACCACACATTTAAGTATAATAAGTTTAGGAACACATATGGAAGGGGTTAAGTTAGCACAGGAAGGTTATCACAGAAAAATGTAAAACTTAATGGCACGAGCGGGATTCGAACCCACGATCTTCGGCTAGATACGCCCCTGCTCTACCACTTGAGTTATCGTGACTGAAAAATGGCAAAAAGGAGGGAAAACTCAAAAGGTGGGGTTGAGATGGGAAGTTGGTGTCCGAGTGGTTTGATAATTTTGTTATTTTTGCAATGTAGGTTAAACAAGTGTCCCAACTGAAATTTGTGTTTGGATAGACCAGTTCTGGCCTATATTGATAGGCACAGTCATATTTGGGGCTAATTAATTTATCTGTCAAGTGCTTGGTCTGGCCATAATACATACCCACAATTACCCATAATTGGAACAGTCATTACACTGAACCCAGTATATAAAATTAGATCTTTTTCCTTTTGGAACAGTACTTTTTAATTTGGGGAAGAAATTCTTTTGAACATTGTTGTTTAAATGTGTTGTTTGCCGATTGTCGTTGCAACAAAGGTCTCAAGTTATAAGATATGTGGTATATATATATATATATATATATATATATATATATATTGTAATAATGTCAACCTTTTTCGGTAGTTTCAAGCGTAGTTGAGTATTGTTCATTTTTTGTAATAATCTGACCAAAAATAATGAATGTTTTGTATTTCGTTACTGTAATATAAAGCCCTGATGAAGGCCGAATAAGCTTGGCAATTATATAATACATGTACTATCATTGACCGCAATCCCAATGCTCCAAAAAACAAACAAAATAAGTTTTGATGGTCGATATTTTCACACATTTTTCGTCAAGGTTTAAAAAAATGTAAAATGGCTGCAATTTTATCTTTTTGCTTCCGAGAAATTTGATTAAATTCAAATAATTGGACTGCACTTCAAAATATAAACGGTCCAGTTATCAGTACATGCAATTAAATTTGACACAAATTTGAGTTTTTATCATCTCCAAGTAAACTTCCTACACTCTTCATTGTTTAAAGCGAGACTTTTTGTCTGGGCGGATCTTTTCCTACTTACACATTTGATTCCATCAAAGTTTAAAAAAATATATTTATTTAGAAGAATGTAATTTAGAAATAATATCAATCGAATACTTATTTTATGAGATTCTCAATTGCTAAATGAGGAAATTGATTTTACACGGAACTTTTGCGTGAAACCTAACAAATTCAATCTTATAAGGTTTGTCTAATGGTAATTTAAACAATAATTTAATTAATCCATATATGTTTTTGCAGTCATAATTGACCTATTAATTATACTTTTTATCTAAGGTCGAGATGAAAAACTAGTGTCACGAGCGGGATTCGAACCCACGACCTTCGGCTCAATACGCCGCTGCTCTCGGACACCAACTCCCCTTCTCGACTCAACCATTGAGCCGAAGGTCTGGTTTAAGGATTAATTATTGGTCTGGAAACATTATAGTGATGCAGTTCGTTTTTAAACAAGCGAAAAGCATTTAAGAAACTAGAAAAATTAAGATTTAAAGAATGCTGTCAAAAAAATCTTTTATTGAACAGATTTTTACCTTTGTCAATTAAATTTCATAATGTGACAGCAGAAAATATTAAAAAATTGTCTGAATTTTTTTTTAAACAGAAAATAAAAAAGTACTGACTGCAAATGCTTTTTATAGCTTTAATGAGTTTTGTCGAATGATATGTTAATGATTGGTGCATAGAATGCTAACCTAACCATGTTAACTGAAGAAGTAGTGATATTTAAAATAATTCACTTGTTTTCGTGGTCCGCTTGACTAATATCTTTCAATTAATCAAGGTTTTTAGTTGAGATAAAAAAGTCAGTGTCACGAGCGGGATTCGAACCCACGACAGCTCAAGTGGTTAAAGCAGTGGTGCATTGACACGAAGGTCGTGGGTTCGAATCCCGCTCGTGACACTGACTTTTTTATCTCAACTAAAAACCTTAATTAATTGAAAGAATTTAAAATAGTATTTACAACAGTTTTACAAATATGTATAACGATTGTAATGACTATTTTGATCGATTTTCAACAAAATGAATTTTTGTATTCTTCTATGTAAACTCCCGAAACCTTGGAATGGTGAGTTCGTAAATATGTTATTATTTTAATAAGAAGAAGATTGTAATGTTTTATGCTGACACAATACACGACCGACCCCCCCCCCCAAAAAAAAAAAAAAAAAATAAATAAATAAATGGCACAGCAGCAACATGCGATCAAATTGATATTTGTTTATTTAAATTATTTTTTATTATGTTTGTTTGAAAAAGTATAGTGTTCGGTGATTCACTTGGACAACATTAAAAGGAAAGAGAAAAAAATCAATTTCGAAATTATCTT